GCATTCCACTGATCAATGTCTCATATAACCCTAACACCCCTGCCAGAGCCCATAATATCTTCAATCCCATTACTTATGTAGAGAGTGCATTTTGTTAATGGTTCTGTAAAAACAAACAAGCAGACAGCTGTCACATGACTCACATCTCGTCAGACAAGGACATGTTGTAAGATGGGAAAAATATTGAATTTAAGGAGTGTAGGGTATAGTTCTGAGACATAGTAGAATTTTTTTGTCTTTTTTTAGTTAATGAATGCTAATACTTGGAAGTTATGAATGTCTACAGTAGATGTATTTGATTTCTATATACATCTGACGGATGTGCAAAAACCGCGGATACCGTGAGAAAGTTATCCGCGGATGTGGTATCCGTGGGAATTTGTCAACCGCGGTACGACACCGCGGATAGCCTTATCCGCTGCAGTCCCTAAGTGAAGTGCGATGCTCCCGCAGGCGAATCGGCACGTGCGCGACACTGCTGTGATTTTCTCGCTGACGTCTCTGCTCGAAGTTTGAACTGCTCAACGTCCACGACAGCGACGAACATGTACGTTACTTTTCTTGTAGTAAAATTACAACTCTATTAACTGTACCTTCTAGGGTGTCCGTCACTGTCGACTCGCCGGAAATCTCGAGGGCGTCTCTACACGCGTCTCTTCCCTGGTGGACACACGTATACACATTCCCCTTCCTCGCGCTCTATCCCCTTCTTGCATATGCCTACTTTGTGCGCTATGACGACTGGCTGAAATCAGAGGAATGGACGTTCCTTGCATGTGTCTCCCTTGGTGCTGGCCACGCACTGTCCTTCCTCGCAACTCGCTGGAGCACCGCTGCACGCGCGTTCATTACCTGTCGAAGTGTAAATGACATTCGTAGTGCAGACTCGATTAGAATCGTACCGGCTGAGCATAGAGGTAAAGGTGGAATAGTTAAATTGCGCAAAAAGGATGTAAGTCACTGCCAAAAACATAATTTCTTATTTTATATTTGTTTTCTAACGTGTTTGGTTGGGGTTAGTCGTCCGATCCATCAACATATACATTTTCGTATCAGCAAGACACGTATGTTTTGTTATCGGAGAAACCATTGATATTCGGTCCTCTACCTTATCCGTCTACGAATAAGCCTCCGCTGTCATCATACCAGCTGCCATCCGGATCCTCCTCGAAAGGCCTTTCGGCAGATGACGTCCCGAGCCTGCTCAGCTTATACAACAAGAATGAATTTCACATCCCCATTCCGGCGTTCGGGACACTTTTCGCTGAACATGCAACAGCACCGTTCTTCGTGTTCCAGATCTTCTGCGTCGCGTTATGGTGTCTGGACGAATATTGGTATTATAGTATTTTCACGCTGTTCATGCTGATTATGTTTGAGTGCACAGTTGTGTGGCAGGTAAGCAATAAAAATCTTAAATCACGCTTGCAGACGTATTGATTGTCCTTCCGTAGCGGTTAAAAACCTTGACAGAGTTTCGTTCCATGTCTATCGAACCATACCCGATATCATGTTACCGGGACGGCAAATGGTTCGTTTTACAGTCGGATGAATTGCTCCCCGGCGATATTGTATCTCTGGCGCGCCAGCAAACTCACAAAGAAGGCACAACTGTTCCTGCGGATTTGCTCTTACTGCGCGGTACTTGCATCGTGAACGAAGCAATGCTCTCTGGAGAGTCGACACCATTACTCAAGGAATCCATTGAACTCTTTGATGGTTCCGAAAGGCTGGATGTCGATGGAGCGCACAAGAACAGCGTCCTCTTCGGTGGTACGAAAGTATTACAATCAAGCAACGGAGGTGTCTCGCAAGCGGGACCGCATACACCAGACGGAGGGTGTCTTGCCGTGGTTCTGCGAACTGGCTTTGGCACTGCCCAAGGTTCGCTCGTGCGCACAATGATATTCTCGTCGGAACGTGTATCAGCCAACACACTTGAGTCCTTCCTCTTCATTGCATTCCTCCTTGTCTTCGCTCTTGCAGCGTCTTCGTATGTATGGCAGAAGGGTCTTGAGCGCGGTCTCAAGAAGTCCAAGTTATTACTGGACTGCGTTATGATCGTTACTTCCGTCGTTCCACCTGAGTTACCCATGGAACTATCCTTGGCTGTCAACGCATCGCTTGTTGCCTTACAAAAATTAGCCATCTTCTGTACAGAACCTTTCCGTATTCCGTTCGCAGGAAAGGTTGAAGTCTGCGCATTCGACAAAACCGGAACCATTACTGCAGAGAGCCTTGTCGTTGAGGGCGTTGCAGGCGTGCATCCCGAGGACCGCACTCGACTGGTGAACGTACGCGAAACGAAACGAGACACGGCACTCTGTCTTGCTGCCGCTCATGCACTCGTTCGTCTCGATGATGGGATGATCGTTGGAGATCCAATGGAAAAGGCCGCATTAGAGGCTCTCGACTGGCATTTACAACCCGGTGATCGCGTATCTCCAACAAATCAAACTGTCGCAGGACTGTATGAACTGCATATTCGAAGGAGGTTCCAATTCTCGTCTGCTTTGAAACGAATGTCGACTATTGCAACTATGCAGCGCGGTGCGGGGAGTGGCAAGGCACGCGTGAGTGTCAAGGGTGCTCCGGAGACGATTAAGACCATGCTTGCTTCCGTTCCTGAGAGGTATGATGAAACGTTCAAGTACTTTACGCGTCGTGGAAGTCGGGTGCTTGCACTCGCCTGGAAGGAGATGGATGGGATGTCTAATGATAGGGTACGTTGACGGACTGGAGCTATTTTTCACAGACAGTTGACATAGCGTTGAAATTTGTCCTTCTAGATAAACCACATCGGACGCGACGAGGTGGAAAGCAAGTTAAATTTCGCAGGCTTCCTCGTGTTCCATTGTCCTTTGAAAGAGGATGCCATTCAAACATTGAAAGACCTCGCCGATTCCTCGCACAGAGTACGCAACGTCTTTCCTATTGTTGTTCGTTTTCTTTACTCCTGACCTCTAAATTAGTGTATCATGATTACTGGTGACAACCCTCTAACCGCTGTACACGTCGCACGAGACGTCGAGATCGTGGACCGTGAAGCCCTGATTTTGGACCTTAAAGAGAATCCAAAGCACGATGCAGACCTCGAATGGCGAACTGTCGACGAAACATTGTCCATCCCTGTAGACCCTTCTAAACCCGTCGACCAAGCTCTCCTCAACAAGTACGACATCTGCATCACCGGTTCCGCCCTCAGACAACTAGAAAACCAACCCGCTTGGCTAACACTCGTCCAACACGCCTGGGTCTACGCGCGCGTCTCACCAGCACAAAAGGAATTCATCCTCACCACTCTCAAATCACTAGGATACATCACGCTCATGGCAGGGGACGGTACGAACGACGTTGGAGCGCTCAAGCAGGCTCACGTTGGTGTTGCGTTACTCGATGGTACACCTGAAGATCTTAAGAAGATTGCGGAGCATCAGAGGATGGAGAGGATTAAGAAGGTGTATGAGACGCAGTTGAATATTAGTTTGAGGTTTAACCAGCCGCCTCCGCCGGTGCCTCCTGCTCTTGCGAGTGCGTACCCCGAGGTTGTGGAGGCTCAGGCGAGGGCAGCTGCTCAGCAGCAGAATGCAAGGCAGAGAAATCCTCTCGAGAAGGTCGGTTATTCTCTGGAGTTCTGTGCTTTTCATGTGATAGTGATACTGATGATTGTGTTGTGTTGCATTTCAGTTTGATTTGAACACCATTACGAACAGTCTGGCAGACATGGATGCAGAGGACGACGTACCGAAGATTAAACTTGGCGATGCCTCGTGCGCAGCTCCGTTCACGTCTAAGCTCTCTCACACCGCAAGCAGTACGTGATACGTTTATTACGCCTTAACTTAACTTGACCAACTGCTGCCTTTTTTTTTTTTGCGAATCTTAGTTGCGCATATCATTCGTCAAGGACGCTGTACCCTCGTTGCAACAGTGCAGATGTACAAGATCCTCGCGCTGAACTGTCTAATCTCGGCGTACGCGTTGAGTGTGCAATACCTGGACGGTATCAAGTATGGTGATTACCAGGTTACAATCACTGGTATGCTTATGTCTGTCTGCTTCCTCTGCATTTCACGCGCGAAGGTACGTCACGATCATTTGGACTGGATCCCTTGGCTGAAAGCTGACTTGTTGGAACTATATGAATAGCCCGTCGAGAAATTATCTCGTGAACGACCACTAGGGAACATCTTCAATCTTTACGTCCTACTATCCATCCTCATACAGTTCGGAATTCACATTGTCGCGTTGGTCTACATTACGGCATTATCAAATGCGAACGAAGAGTACGCACCCGTTCTTCCTGTTTATTCGTTATAATTATTTAATTATGTGATTTGTCTAGCCGTGGACCGATTGATCTCGAAGCCAAGTTTGAGCCAAACCTCCTCAACACAGCTATCTATCTTCTGGGATTATCTCAGCAGGTCTCAACTTTCGCTATAAACTTCCAGGTACGTCCCAGCCACCAGAACCTCGTTTTAATTATAAAGCAAATTAAACCACCGTATGCTTATATTGTTTCCGCGTTTTGTTTTGTTTTTAGGGTCGTCCATTCCGCGAAGGCATACGCGAAAACTCTGCGCTGTATTATGGTCTACTTGGCGCAAGTGCTGTTGCGTTTGCTGGAGCGACAGACTTCGTACCTGAGTTCTCGCGCTGGTTGCAGATTGTCGAGATGCCTGTTTTCGTAAGTAGATTTTCTTCATCTTCTTCCCTCCCCTCGGTCCAGGCTTCATGAGCCAACCGATATCGTTAAAATGGCATTCACACTAATTTTTGTTGCCTTTGCGCCTCACAGTTCAGAGTTCGTTTAACAGCAGTGATGATCGCAGACTTCGTAGGCTGCTGGGCCGTCGAAGTCGTCTGCAAGGCACTCTTTGCGGTGCTTGAGCCCAAGGAGATGCTCACTCGAGGACGAGAACGTAGAGAACGACGTAGACAACTTGAGGGGGAGAAACGCAAGGCTGAAGCTGCGACTAAAAAGGACGAATAGAGTACAGTTACAAGTGCTTAGATCTAATTGGCTTTTCGTCTCGCTTGCGACCTCCCATCTTCGTTTTACGTTGTCGTCGTTCTCGTTCTTTGACTACGCATAATGTACTCTATTGAATTTTAATGGCTTTTTCTTCTAGACATACTATACATGGATACATCTAACTGCTTGGCATAAGTTGAACGAATGAAAACCGGAAATAAATTTCCAATAAATATTGCAATGAAACAAATGTCTAACACGAAACGTTTTCCATCTAACCATACGTCCTAGTCTTCAGCCCTTAATCGAATAAACCGTCCTCCCAGAGACTTCTGATCACATCGGCAGGCACTGGTAACTTAAGGAATGGCTTCTCCTGATCACAGCAGGAGCATTTCTCGCCATATGTGAACTCCTGTGGATCGAACTTGACGTCTATATTGTAAGAATACTTCTCGTGCAGGAGTCGCGAGACGCGCCTCGATTTGTCCGACTTGTGGCTTGGGTGGACTCCTCTGGACTCAGCTGCGGAGTCAGCGCTTTGACGGCGTCTGGCCGTGCTGTCTGTAACCGAGGACTTGTAAGTCGCAATGCAATAGTGTTTAATAATTATAGCATGCATACCATGTCCTCTTCTCGTTGAGTGAGGCGATTCGTCTCGCCCTCCTCGATGTCCTGTTAGCAAAGGAGATGGTAAATGATTAGCACCTGCAGGGTAGGAATTCACGCCCAATGTGCCAGTAGTAAGACGCACCATCTGGATCTCTTCTCGTTGAAGCATTGCTATTGCCTAAGAGGAGCAAGTAAGTATCCAGAAATGTTCGATTTCATCGATAAGGCGGTTCTTACGGCCACGATGACGTTCTGTATCTCTGGGTCTCCTGCTTGACCGCGTTCCATGGTCTGTATCCTCGTCGTTCGCTGAGCCGTGTACTTTCTCGGCCCTTTCTCTCGCCGCATCCGCCGCCGCCTTCTTCTTCTCTGAAGACGTACGGTGAGACGGGGAAGCTATGTTGACAGACAGCTATCGTAAATAACTCGAAAAAGGATACACCATAAAATTATCTCCTACCGTCCTCGCCGCGTCCACGTGGCTGTCTATATCTTGATGTACGACTCCGGTGCCCTGTCCTCGGTCTATCAGTTTCCGATTTTTCCGATTTTTCCGATCCTTTGCCAGCTAAAACAAATGCGTGAGTTCACGACCATCAATGACTATAAAGAAAATAACGAACTGCGATTAAAGATTTTGCCCAATAAGCCCTTACTGTCTTCCTTGTGGTGCTCCCTTTCTGTGTCTGAATCGCGAACGTCTGTATCCCGGGTACTATCTCTGTCCCGACGGTGTTCCCTGTCTGTGTCCAGAGAGTCCTCGCGTTTATGATGCACGGACTCCTCACGATCGTGTCGTCTGTTCTCACGTCTTCCTTTAGTGCGTTCCTCACGTCCGCGTTTTGGTCCTGTTTCTCTAGTCTGGGTACCTGTATGGAAGTGCCATCAATGACACGCAAAGATAATGTGGCGGCACGAGGGCATAGCTATATGCTCACCGGAACTGGTCATCGCAGGTTTTGTCTGTTCTTTCTCTGTAGCAGCTCCCGCTCGGGTGCTGTTACCCGGGTCTTTAAATTGGACGCCTTTACGGTCGATCCTTCTAGGTGAAGTTGTGGGTGGTGTCTTGTCGCTTGGCGTCGCGTTTGTTCTTGGTTTAGTACTGTTGGAAGGCCTTGGTGGTGGCTTTGGTGTTTGTGTACTTGCGCTTTCCATCCTTTGAGAAGTATAGGTGTTCCAGAGATAGGCCGGTGCAGTAACTGACTGAAGGCTTGGACCTCAGCCTGGAAGTCCCGTATACGAGGGAGATGGCAGAGTGAGTACAATGTGTGGCAATATTAGAACCAATTAGATATACACCGGGAGAACTTTGCAGAATGGACGCGTTCAAGAGGACCTCCCAAGTGCAAAGTTATCGCTCCTCTGGGCTTAGAGGGATCAATGACTGCGTTAGAACTGTTATCTAATCTGATAAATAAGATAATACCTGTTCAGGAAGTTTATTCCGAATGATACTTAGCCTATAAATGTATATCGGCATGCTGCATGAGTCACTTACGAACCTATATGACCTGATACTCACGCTTCACCAAATGTTGCGAAGCTGCCTGACGAACGCTAACGAGACCACACTGTTTCGGACAACACCTTTTTTCTTTGCGTCAAGGAATTTCCATTGGACCTACACTATGTCCTCGACTGCTCCTTCGGGCAAATTTCAATTCTTAGCCTATTGCCCCGATAAGTCCGACGAAGGACTCTTGCAGCGGCGTCTATCCGTGCGCGAAAGGCACCTCGAGAATGCAAAGAAACTTGGAACAGATGGAATTATCAGTTAAGCTTGTGGCGCACTTTCCGCTCGGGGTAAGTACTGATGCTTACCTGTAACCTGTCCCACAGAATTTGGTCGCGCGTTCGTGAGCCCGGAATCAGTCGCCTCACCCAATGCTGAGCAGAAAATGGTTGGATCGCTGATAATATATGAGGCATCTTCGCTGGAGGAAGCGAAGAAGCTCGTTCAGAGCGATATTTATTATACAGCTGGCGTTGTGAGTAGTTTTCTCCTACGATGCTTTAGTGTATTTACGAGAGCATTCCACCACAGTGGGACCCAGAACGGATCATGATCCATCCCTTGGCGGGTTCGTCGTTGTATTCCAAGAAAGACGAGTGGCTAATGAATCTGCCCTCGTGAGCGACGACCATACCTGGAATAGTGGAAGGTACCAGTCTAGTGGCGAGCCGGACTGTCTCTCGTTCGGCACAGCAAACGCATCATTTAACATTGAACCTGTGTAATTGGATATAAATGAAACAATGAACTAAGTGTAAACGGACAAAATGCAAAGTAAAGGCAGGTGGCCAGGACGATTTCCCCCTTACCGAACCCACGAAAAGTGCATTGACTGCGCCCTGCGAGGGACAAACAGTATACGCATCGATTATAGCGTCAATGAAGTGCTCAGCACTCGAACATCCCACAAGTTCCGGTACCATCCGGACCGTGAGTCCGTCTATAACAGCATCGTGACGAAAATGAGCATCTGGGACCTTTCTCTATATCCTATTTGAGATTCCGAGTCATGGCTGCACCTACTCAAGCCAACCAGTTTCAGTTCATGGTCTACTGTCCAGACAAGACGGATGACGGGGCATTCCAGCGCCGCCTGTCTGTACGCGAAAAGCACCTTGAAAATGCGAAAGTACTTGGTGATAATGGCACCCTCAGTAGAGTCCCTGATTGCCCGATGCATTATTGCATATGCAAGAATTTTGGTTGATGTTTGCGTTCTAGAATTTGGTCGAGCCATTATGAGCCCGGAATCGATTGCGTCACCAGGCGCAGAGCAGAAAATGGTTGGGTCGATGATGGTTTACCAGGCAGCTTCACTCGAAGAGGCGAAGAAAATTGTTGAAAGTGACATTTACTACACAAGTGGCGTCGTAAGTCCCACACAGATCGAACCTTGCATTATCTGATTCACACTTGACCTTCAGTGGGATCCAGAGCGCGTTGTTGTCCTACCTTTCATGGGCTTGCCTATGTAAAAGAATCAAGGGGCGAAAAAGTGTAGTACTAGTAGTTGTATAGAGTGTATGGCACGTGATGGATCGATTATATCATTACCACTACCAACAATGAGATCATGGACCTACACCGTCAAAGCTATCTGTCTCGTCGAATTTTGTCGCCAGTACTGGTACTACTGTTGTTGAAGGACAAAGTGCTCGGCCTCAAATTCTCTCTCACACTACCTATTTGTCGACTGAACCTACTTCATAAACACGACTAACCTGATTTATAATCGACTCGAGAAGAGTGATAACGGAACTGATTTCCGATACTTATAATCACATATCTCGAGCTGAGCTTGCTCATTACCTGGCATACAAACAAGTTCTCTCAGACTATCTTGCATTATGGCAAATATCACGAAGCCTAGCCCCGCTAAGGGCGCAGACCCAATATTACTCACACTATTTGCGAACCGCTTCATGAGTGTCGCTGAGGCAATGGGCAGGTCTCTGCAGCAGACTTCGATAAGCACGAATATCAAGGAACGTCTTGACTTCTCGTGTGCACTCTTTGCACCCGATGGCGAGCTGGTCGCCAATGCGCCCTTCATACCGATCCACCTCGGAGCCATGAGTTTGTGAGTTATCCTCTATAAACATTGAGGCAGTCCATTAATTGATTAATAACTCGACAGTGCGGTGAGATACCAAATGAACCTGCACAGCAAGAGTTTGAAGGATGGAGATGTACTCATGACCAATTCTCCACGTGCAGGAGGATCGTGAGTAGCATATAATCATTAATTTAAACCGCGATTAATTCATATTCCAGGCATCTTCCAGACATAACTATTATTACACCGGTATTTTCACCCGAAAACCCAGAGGAAATAATCTTTTTCGTCGCTTCTCGTGGACATCACGCTGACGTCGGCGGAATTCTCCCTGGTTCGATGCCCCCGACTTCCGTCACGATCTTTGATGAAGGCGCGGAGATCATCAGCTTCAAGATTGTCAGCGGAGGTGTATTTGATCGGGACGGTCTACACGAGCGTATGATTGATATTCCCGCTCGCTATCCTGGCAGCTCTGGATGTAGGAATATCAGAGATGTCGAGAGCGATATCAAGGCGCAAATTGCCGCAAATCACAAGGGTGTACAGCTTATTCGGATGATGATAGAAGAATATGGTCTTTCTACTGTGCAAGAGTACATGTACCACATTCGTGCAAATGCGGAGATATCGGTGAGGAACTTGTTGAAGGCTGTTGCGAAGCGGATGGGGACAAACATACTTTCCGCAGTCGATTACCTTGATGATGGTTCACCCGTAAGGATCATTCACTCTCTTGTCATGCGAAAGTCCTCATATTCTCCAGATTCAATTGCGAGTCGAGATCAATGAAGAGGAGGGTTCTGCAGTACTTGACTTTGAGGGCACCGGACCTGAAGTGCGCAATAATCTTAACACGCCCACTCCTGTCGTGCACTCCGCAGTCATCTATTGCATGCGTGCCATGCTCGATAGTGACATCCCGCTCAACGCTGGTTGTCTTGTCCCTCTCGATAGTGAGTTGCACGGCATCATAACCTTCAGCTAATCGATTAAATATGATCGATCTAGTCAAAATACCGAAGAAATCACTGTTACTCCCCTCGCCGACTGCAGCTGTCTGTGCGGGCAACGTCTTGACATCTCAGCGGATAGTTGACGTCGTGCTCAAGGCATTCAACGCTTGTGCAGCAAGCCAGGGCTGCACAAAGTGAGCTTTCCCCAAATTTCACGCTCATGCGAATTACTGACGCCCACTTAGCAACTTAACCTTTGGTGCCGGCGGGAAGGACAAAGACGGAAAAGTTTCCGCTGGCTGGGGATACTACGAAGTACGTTTTTCTGCAAGTACCGCCGACATCCAAACTGAATTTTGATATATTCAGACAATTGCAGGCGGCTCGGGTGCTGGTCCGGGCTGGCATGGAACGTCCGGTGTGCACACGCACATCACCAACACGCGTATCGGCGACGTCGAGATCCTTGAGCGACGGTACCCTGTGCTCTTACATCGTTTCGGTCTCCGAGAAGGCTCAGGTGGAGACGGTCAGTGGAAGGGGGGTGACGGTGTCGTGAGGGAGATCGAGTTTATGCACCCATTGCAGGTGTCGATCTTGTCTGAGGTTGGCTCATCCTTGGGTTTGACGTCTGAGAGAAAAAGGGCACTAATGTTATGGTTGATACCTTGTTTATATAGAGACGCTCGCGCCAGCCTTATGGACTCGAAGGTGGTCACCCAGGAGCAATGGGTCGGAACGTCTGGGTCAAACAGCTTCGAGAAGAAGACGGGGATATAGTCGATACAGAAAACGATCCTCTTTCCGGACCAAAGCCGAAATCAAAAGAGGATGAGAAGGAGAACACCCAGCCGAATAGAGAGCCTCGAATAATCAACATTGGCGGGAAAGCGACGATATTTATGGGGAAGGGTGATAGGCTCTTGATTGAGACGCCAGGTGGAGGTGCATGGGGTGCTCCGTCTGGTGAGAGGGATGGTAAGGGAGTAGTAGGGACTGTAGTGGAAAAGGTGAAGGATACGGTAGAGTGGGCGGTGAGAGGGAGTCTCGCGGAGCGGGCGGCGGCGCAGGCTGGGTTTTAAGATACATAGTATGAAGCATGATTTCAGTTGAGCAATGGCGTTACGGCAAGCGAGTTCCTGTAGAATCAAAGCAAATCGTATTGCATAAACGAACTTTTTTTTCGATCCTTCGGATGTGGCATAAATAAATGTTAGATTGTATTAACGGGAGTATTTAAGTGGCTACGATAAGGAAGTGAGCGATACACTGGAGCATAAATAGCTACAGAGGCATGACACGTCGTAAATGATCGTAAATGGTACAAATAATAGGAAGAACAACAGACAATGCAATTATCGTCGGCAATGAGTTAGGGACAAGTGGTTAGTCTCTGATAAATTATTTAAATTAGGAATCGAACGGATGTGTCCTTGTAAAGCATAGAAGCTTAGGTCAATTTGCGATTCTTCGAAGAAAGTGGAGAGTAAGAAGGACATACGATGGGATGGGAAGCTGAGAGCTGTGGTTTCTGGCTGAAGCGGTTCTTGAGGATTTTCCTGCAACGAGACGTGGGTCAGAGCTCGCGGCAAGGGAATGTAGAAGGTAGCATGGTTGTTTTACCTGATGTTTATGAGAAGTTCTTGGTATGTCACATTGGGATTCTCTTCTGATGGCGGAAATATTCTCAATGGCGGAACAAAAAATGCAGAGAATTATGGTGCTTACTCAAACACTTTATGAATGCCTGAAATTTACGGTCAGATGCAGTACATGCCATGACATGTGATGATGCGTACATAGCTCATGGCGCCTGTTGCCACGTTGTTCTGAAAGGTATCCGCACTTGTTTGAGAATCTTTACATCCACTCCATGAAATCTTCGTTATGACATTAATTCCGACCAAGAAAACATGACGAGATGAGATGTGCTCACAACGTCGGCAGGACTCGTCTTGATCTTTAGCACATATCGCCTTCGTCTCCTGGCATCTCCGAGGCGACGGTCCATTCCCTCAAAATCTCGTGCAAGTTCATTAACGCCATATTCACGATCGTTGAACGATCGGTCGCCGAAAATGTCATCTCCTGCTGCGCGAGACAGATTGGGCTCTCGCTTGATTTTACCGTTCCTTCCATACATGTATGGTAAATCTGTACATGGTGGCTGAGCTTCCAAGATGAGACAAATAAAATTGAAACTTGCCTAGCGCAGATCCAGAATGACAACACTGAGGTTCTTAGTTAGCTTTAGAAATTAAGGTGCAGAGTATGAAGGACTGTACGTCAAAGATAGCCTATAAATTGAATCGGTCATACGTTCACGAACATAGGCAGCCTGAGCATGCTCACCGTCAATCGGCATCCTTCTGGAAGAGGTTTGACCTGTCACGAGGTAAGTCCGCTACTATTCGATGTAGTGTAGTCTGTTTCCCACCATAATGTCATGCATGTCCTAAGAAACTCGTCAGTATATTTTGAAACAAACTAGCATTAATCCTTACGTCATCAACAATATGACCAGCTCTCTTCCAGTCCAAGGGATAGATAACTAGAAAGTACGAAGTCGGTATTGAGTCTATTTTCAAGAGGTTTTGATCTGTGCAACCTACCTTCATCGTATCCATCAGCTTCATCACCATCTTTGTCTGGGGTCTGACCTCCGTGCCCGGAAACTGCATTTAAACTATTCATGACAATATCTGCAAAGTGAGACGGATAGAATACGAACAGTGAAAAACGAGAGAGTCATCAGCCTGTGCATCGCGCACCAGCCACTTCATGGCATCAATGATGTTGCGTTTAGTGGGACGCTGGCGTTGTGACTTTCCATCATCCGTTAACAAGACAATATCCCCAGGTTTGAACCCGTAATGATCTATTGTAAGGGTAGTTGACTCTGCCTTAAGAGATTATCGAAAAAGAAAATAGTCAACCTACTCATCAAGAAGGTGCGCATCCTCTTAGCGTCATTGATACAGCCGTTAAGCTGATTCGGCGATCCAATATAATTGATTCCAATCTAACAATGCGGTCAGCGAGTTAATTGGGATAGTGCGAGAACCCGGGACAATGGGATACGTACGCAGAGTGCTTTCTTTCGCCGCGAACATTGCGAATACTTGAAATGATGTCGTTTATCTCCAATTTGCGGGCCATAGTAAATAATATCTTTCGGAGGCAGCTGTGGGACGGGCATGTGCACCTGAGGTGCCGGGTTCAATGCAGGATTTAAGGTAGCTGGTAACGGGTTTTGTCAACATGATTGATCATATAGGGAGTACAACAAAAGTTCCGACTACGCAAGTTGAAGATTGTTGCCTTGGATACGACAAACTTATACAAGTCGAAATCTACGTACGCATACCTGCTGCATTGGCCTGTGGTATGTGACTTGCACTGTGTATGGGACGAAGGGGATGTTGCTGGTGCACCACAGTTGCGCCATGCACAGGGGTACTGGAGTTATGCTGATAGGCGGGACGTGAAGGAATGTTATATGTTTGCCCGTTTGCATGTAAAGTAATATTGGGAATACGGTTGTGAGAGCTTGATCGATGTTGCGACTGATGGCCATGATAGTGATGGTGCCTATGGCGGTGATGAGTCTGGGGGGTTGCTTGAGCATAAAGATGCTCTTGGCTGTGGCTATGACGATGAGTATGGCCCGTGTGGGGATAGTATACGAAGGCTTTGGATAGGTCCATTCCTCGTTCTTTAGACCTGCCTCTCTCTTCCCTATCGGACACCGAAGGTTAACATCGATCGAGGAACTGTTGTTCTTAATAATTACCGATTGGACGGTGGAAGCGGAGGTTCATAACTAAAACATTAACTAGTACGTCAAACACGAGCACACCCAAAATTCAATTCGCTTACCCATGCTGGGGCATTACAAACCCACCCGGTGACACAGGAGCTGCCGTCTCATATGTGCCATGTCTAAGTGAACAAGTTGGTTATGAGTGGGAAAAATGGTAGAACCTGACCTTGACTTACGGATAGCTGCGGATTAATGCAAGTACGTTAAATATTAATTATATAAAATTTACGTGGCGAGAACCGCTCGAGAACTTACGCTGGCGAGGGTGCACGCATATGGTCAGGCATAGCTGGTGCATAGCCGGAAAATGAGTGTGAGCGCGAGCGAACGTACTGTTGCTGTTGGTTTGGCCACATTGGTGGGAGTGAAGGGAGGTGTGGTAGTGGTTGGAAGAAGAGATGAGTGCGTCAACTTGACTGGTTTGCGCCTGACTATGATTAGCGCTGGTTGATACAAGGGCGGGTGAGAACCCGACTCGGAGCCTTCTTGCTCACAGCCATGATCCGGTCTAACACCGATGGGTTACAAAAGGAAAGGGATGCTCCTCGCAGCTTTCGGTCTCAGAACTCGACCGATACTGTGTTTCACCGGTTCGCGCTCAGTTACCAGTTAACGCTCAGTTGTACAATACCTCCCTCAATTCTTAGTAAAATTTCTTGAAATTTTACATACAGGTAGCCTACAGTAAATATAACTTAAATACGAAATTTGAGCAAAAAAAAATGAGTTGAAGCTGAGATATTGGTGTTGGAATGTTAGAATTTTGATGATCAGCACTGATTTAGTGAACAGAAACTTTTCCCACACACAACACACTTAATATTAATTTAAGGAGACATTATTTGTAGCTGAAATTTTGAGAATAAGTACTATATTATATGTAGTTACTATATATTTTTTTATATAATTAATAGTTAAGTATTAAGTTACTTATTAAGAATACGATTTTAAGTCTAATTTTACTACTTTCTATAATTCAGAGTTTATAGTTATAACTTACGAATTTTTTATTACAATAATTAATATTATAACTATATATAAAAATTCGGTACTAGTATTCTTGATATATTTACTATAATATTCTATAATTTTAAGAGAAAATATTAAGAATTAAAATTATTATAATTAAATCAAAACTATATATATAAAAAGTACTATAATCTACTATATTACTTATTAGTACAGTTTTTATAGTTAAAAAAAATTGTAAAGCATACGTATGTTAAAGGTTATATGTTTCAGTATTAAACGATCACTATAGAGAAGAGGAGGGAGAGGGAGGAGAAGAGGAGGGAGAGGGAAAGGGAGAAGGAAGAGAAAAGGAGGGAGAGGGAAAGGGAGAAGGCACGGCGAGCAGCAGAAATGGACCTGAAGAAGAAAAAGAAATCTGAAGAAAGGACTGCGACGACGAGCACAGCCGATTTACCGAGGAAGCAACCAAGACCAAGACCAGCCTACCGTACTCTCAACTCAGCCATTAATTTGGAGAGTGAGAAGGAGAACGTGCGCACCAGTAACTACCCACCAACCCTTCCTCAGACATGGGATTTTGTTGTCCAAACAGGCCCACGCAGTGCCTTGGCCAACGTCCATCATCAACATCAATCCATCTCTCAGGAACAGTCGAACGAGGTATCAGCGAGTGGTGGAACTGTGACAGCAGAGGGAGTGCAAGATCACAGCGAAGGAGGAAGAGCTTAATCGATGTCGATGTGAGATGGCGGAACGCTTGCGACTGTGTGAAGAGAGAGAGATCGCTGAGCAAACTTGACGAACCAGGCATTAGAAGGATAAGGCTAGCAGACCAGAGGAACAGCAACGAATTCTGAAAGCAGAGGAGGAGGAGAACGAGAGGCAGAGGAGAGCAAGAAGCAGACATTAGAATGTAGGCAAGAGACTCTAAGTCATCACAACGAGCCTGTTCCTGTATAAAGAACCATATATTCCATTAATTAATAGAGTGTATATGACTAATAGACTGTACTTACCTTTATTTCTGCCCAGACCAAAGTAAATTGGTCTGGATAGGATTGAAGTCGAGTCTGCGTACTGAGTGAATGCACGCGCGAATTTCTCTAAGTTTAGTTTCCCACGAGTGTGCGTTTCCTGGTGAATCACGTCGAACGCTCAGTTTTGAGTCCTTCACGCGTAAATTCAATAAAATATTTATTTTTTATTTTACAAAAAATTAAAACATACGTTTTGTAGCTAATATGAAGACCTTTCTAATAGTATTTTTTTGTGAAATAATAATGAGTTTTAGTAATTATAGACTGCAAATACCCTTAAAGTGAGCGTTTCTGGGTGAAATACAGTAGAGAGAACGAAAGGCATGAGCGGCTGCCAAAGCACGAGGCTCTTGAAACGGCTGGATATTTCCAGATCAGGAAGTCTCTCGGCAGGAGCCGATTACGGACCTCTGGCTGATTCGGGAATACGGTCGTTTCAGAGGTCACAGCAGAGGAATAGGCCAAAGGCCAAGCCTCAAGGCCAAGAATGCAAGGTGCACAGAGTTTTATTAATATTATTGATACAGCTTTTGTAGGCTCGAAAGATAAATTTCAGGGTGCTCGGTGTGGCTACAGCCTGTTGAATGAGTATACAGTCCAAACCTTGCAGTTGCTCCGTGTTAGCACTTCATGTCTCGGCTCAACTCGTCAATCAGGATACGTGACATGAGAAATGCAGGAAAACAGACAGATAATTCTGATGGCAAAGCACAAACGACGCAAGTCTTGTTGGAGTGGCAGTGTTTAATGAATCGGTTGGAGAGTCGCGACCACGTGACTTGCGTTGAACTTCTTGATCATGACTCGCCCCTTCCCCAGGTTTCCTTCGTTCATCGTCCTCCTCGTCAAACGCATCGAGGACGCGTTGTGCCACGGCCGAGCTTTCTGCTGCACTTCGGGTGATTAGGCAAGACGTGCAGCACGTAATACAACTGATCTTTCTAGCTGTATTTGACGGTGAGTCCCCTTCCTTCGTGACCATATGCTACGCGTCGGGTGCTCAACGTTTCGACCTTCCCATGCCCTCTCAGGTAATTCATTCGAGGGAAAGGAGCCATTCAAGTCAATAAATCAAGTCTAAATCAAGCCGTTTCCTCAGGCATCTGCAAGTTCTTTCTTTCCTCAAGCAAATCGGCCATCTTACGGCTACGTCCTGCACTGACCATCAACGCATCTCGCACGAACCCTGTACTCATCACGTCTGTATATCAACGTAACCTTGTTCTATCAACGCCCAATCTTGCATAAACATTTTCTATTAACGTTCTGACGACCCTCACTGCTGATATTCTGACGATGCGGAGCGTGACTTTATCTCGAACTCCAGCGCCACTGGAACGAGCCTCTGTCCTAAACACTCCACCTTTTCCTCAAGTACCTACTATCCGGCTTACGACGGCAACTCCTTTGTCCACAGATTCACAACTCGCCGACGTTCCCTCGGAAACGACAATATTAGCCCCCAAGTTGCAAGCAACCTCGCGGAAGCGCCTCGTTCCGAAGAAATCGAAACTCAGCCTACTAGGAGGGGGCAAAAAGGAGAAAGGCAAGGACTTTAGTGACATTGAGCGTCGCGTGGGCGCGGCTTCTCCCACTATGGGCAGAAGTTTCGACATATATGTAGATCCTGCAGATGATCCCGATATCGGCGAGATAGTCGTTTTGAAGAAAAAGAAGTCTCGCGCAGGTCTCGACGATCTCTACTGGGGTGCTCTAGGCGACGTGACCAACACTGGCAAGCGTCCGATATCAGACAAATTGACGCGGGTAAATAAACCTGCCACAGCAGAGTCATTACCCAAGGCGACGGATGACGAGAAGGAGAAGTGGTGGACAATTGGACGCGGGAGGAAGGATACTAAGGAGAAGTCAAAAGACAAAGTTAAGACGAAGTCCAAGGAGAGACTGAAGGAGGCATCAAAGGAGAACTCCAACATCAATACGAAGGGTAGCGCGCGACGAGTCACCAAATCGCGCAAATCATTGCGTGAGTCCTGCTCATCGAAATGTAGTGCATCAGGAACTGACCATGGTATGTTATAGCTCAAGAGCAGACAAAAAACTCGGAGACGAGGCAACGCTCACAATCCCTCGATGCTGGAATGATTTTTGCATCTACACCAGATTCATTTGCCACGAAGTTCATCTCGGTTCCAATGCCTAATGATGATGATGACGACCGCGAGCCACCTCGTCGCGGCCATGTTCGAACTAATACGTCCCCGAGTCTTTATGGGGCACGTCCAACTACACCAGAAGGAATTGCAGCCGTGACTCAGCCTTCCGAGGATAAGGAGCGACCAAGGACTGGCTCGATTGCCTTACGTGCAATGCGTTCAGTGCGCTCTCTTGCGCGTATCAGTAGCTGGGCGCAGCTCAAGAATACGCCTCCGGATGATGGCGAGCAATCGACCGAGAAACCTGTTACTAAGACCGGGAATAAAGACGTGAAGAGAGAGAGGAAGAAGAGCCATCAGAACTCCAGGAGCAGTTTTGAAGCGCTCAAGAGTACTTTCGGTTCTGTCCGGAAGAGCATAGATCTGACAGGGACGATTCGTTCGGTTTCTTCTCAAGCGACGGCGGTTTCATCATCGTCCGATGCAACAATACGTCACAGAAGGAGGGAATCCGGTGCATCAGTGTCCACCATTCGATACGATAGCTCGGTGACGACCCGGGTCGAGCCAATCATCGGACGGGTTTCAAAAAGTTCGGGTGCATCAACAATTCGCTGGAATGACCAGGTTGATACAACGGGAGAACGTCATTCACCGGGCTCTGAGGAATCTGCATCGTCGAGCATGTCGGATAGTCGCCGTGAAAGTAAGAAGCGATTGCCTGAAGGACGAAGGCGACCTGGACTGGCCTCGCTTTTCCCGGATCTCAAGCGGGACATCTCCAAAGCAGCAGATGTCCAAGAAAAGGCTGCTTTCCCCCTAGTTGCGCCACTGTCGGACAGCGCTGAAAGGGAGTCGGAAACTTCAACGACGTTGCTTGACATTACCAGTGTCACTTCTCTAGATACACCGTCAAGAAGGGTTCGTCCACGGCCGCTGTCTGAGCAGTTGCTTGGGCGTGAGCGGCCAAAAGGTATCATAGGGGATAAGGACACGGGTAAGAAATGAGCACGCCTTGTGGAAAATCTCCAATCTCACCATGTAATACTTATAGGCGTTATTCGAATTCTGGATGATGTGACGACCAACCTAGCCTGTCTCATTAACCGGCTCGATCTAGAAGCCACTCCAACTTCGTCTCCGGTCATTGAATCTCCGAGAAGCACGCTTACTGAACGATCCCGAAGCAACAGTGCGGTCACTGAAAGCCCTGCAAAGAAGGCCGCTAGGCAGCGTTCTATGGACAAACTGATCGGTACATTGAAGTCGTACACACATCGTGCTAAGAGCGCTTCTACGTCTGCTGCTGATCTCTTGGGACAACGAATTGCTCCATGGATCGACTCGAACGCGGCGCCAGAGCCAGAGACAACAAAAAGAACGGAACGACAACCCGCCTTCCGGCATGAACGGAAAGGGACATGGTCACCTTCGAGTTTCCCGGCTTCCTATGAGAGTGCTCCTAAATTAAACCCGCTGCCAGTGCCCTCGCGTTCGCGTTCGAATCTCAAGGAATGTACAGACCAAGTACAGAGTAAACCATCTTTGAACAATGTCGAGGTCGAGGCAAATATGCCAAGCTCCTTTGCTACATTCGGCAAGAGGAGGTCAAATGGCTCCGACAGGTCGATGACTTCGACGAAGACGGCGAAATATCAAAAACGTGGTGGACGTGGCTCCTCTATTTCTCAGAACGCCTTTAACATGTCCTGCGAGAACGACGTCTTTGCTGACATCTCAGCAGGGTATACAAGCGGCAAACGAAGTACTCTCGGCTCACTAGGCTCTCAGTCAATTGCTTTGGACCCGAGCGATCCGAATTACGATATTCCCAGAGAACTTCGGATATTGCTGGACAATGGCTCAGATCGAGACACGTCGTACTCACTCAGTGCCGATCGAGGATTCATGGCCGATCATGATGCGTTCATGTGTCCTTTACCTCCATCCCCTGGCACTCCTCCCAATATGCCCCTTCCTCCAGTCGAATCTTCTGAGTCAGTGTCGCAATCGTCTCCTTCTAGTGAGCTGAATGAACTTAATGACGAAGCTTTCATCGCATCCGACGACGAGAGCGAAACAAAGAAGTCTTTTGACTTCACCGCCGAGCTAAGGAAGTTGGACTGTTCACGGGCGACGGACAACCAGAGTTTTGCTATGCAACTCGAGGAGGCCTTCAAGACGCCAAGGAAATATTCTCTTCGTGGTCTGGGTCCGAAATTCGGACTCCATGTTAAAAATGTTCCTGACGTGCCTCTTGTTCCGGAGCAATACCACGTAGCTGCACACGAGGTCGCTCTACCCGGATCGCCGCCGACTTCAGACCCGTTGGACGAGGAGTGTTTCGAAGACAGCAACTTGACGAGTCACTTAAGCCAGGACGAGTCGCATGAGGAAGACATTTGTATAAGTCGTCCTCTTCACTCGTACCAGCGTGGAGTTTCTTCAAGACCCTCCCAAGGTCGTTTGGATTTGAATTTCCAATTCGGCGGTAATGCCTCGGCACGGATAAAGTCAACTCAATCTTCTAGGGACGGTCTTGCACAGCTGTCTGCCGAATCCTCATCGTTACAGAAATCCTATACTCATACGAGATCAAGCGTAAACTCCGATTATTCCACGAAGCTCAGAGCGATGGTCGACTTCCTTGTACCATTGTCAAATGATGGCCGCAACCAATCCCGTGCCTCATTGAACTCGACTACTTCAAGCAGACCAATGACACTTTCAGACATAATTCCACCACCATCTCACGACAGCCGTAGGAACTCATACATGTCCGTCAGCGAGGAGGAGAGCATAGCTTTGCAATCGATATACGCACAAGCAGATTCGCTATCAGAAGTCAGTCTGTCACCAGAGACAGGGGTCGTCCCGACTGGCAATGCCGGAGGGAGCGACCTGGACCGTCTCGTTGTGCACTCCAGACAGAATTCCGATGTTAGTTTCTCAGGTTTGTCCGCTTATAGCGAGATACGCCGGGGATTTGAGTTTGGACCTTCACGCCCTGTATTCTATCCACCTCCCGTTCCTGGGTCGAGTATGGGTAATTCTTTGCAGGTTCCACATGCAGACTGGCGTAATTCACTGCTAAGTCTTGGGTCAGTCTCTTCGTATGGACGTGTTACCCGTGCTGGGGCGAAGGATCCTTTCGGCTATAGTGTTCCTGCACGACCGATCTCCGATGACATGTCATATACCGTGGACGATACGTTTTCGTTCCTTCGTCATGATCCCATGCGCCAAAGAGTCGATAGCGGTGCATCTAATTTCTCTTTCGACTCGAATTATTCGCATCTCAGGCCTGATGTGCATCAACGGAGAAGCCGCAGGCAAGTCGAGTCCATAATCTCAGTAACCTCAGGCCCTCCTGTAAGCTTGTACAATCGAGGATTCAATGCTGGGCGGACGACTTTAACCTGGCGTCAACGAACCTCTTCATTCGAATCTATTGCGAGCGGATTTTCTGCACATCATTTGGGTCGACCTGGAATAGGGGATAAGATGTTTGAATCTGCACGTGAACATGGAATTCCGCTCGAGGCCATCTCAGCTTCGCCGTCGCAATTAGATTCGAGTATGAACTGGCAATCATCGTTTGACTCCGTTGTGGATGCAGATCGTGATCAGGACTCCCTCATCGACGAGACAGGACGACGTTCTATGATAGGATCTCGCGAGTCATTGTTTGGCAACGACAACCAGCAGTTTGATCTCCGCCCACCTCAGTTCAGGCCTGTTTCAGTTTATAGCACATATAGCCAAGGAAGCCCTAAACGTGATGATGACACGATGATCTCAGTAGGTAATAACTCAATAATACTTGTTCAAGTTTTTATTTTTGTCTAGATGCTTGGTGGAGGGTTTGTCCGACGACGTTCGATTCGCTCGACGCTTGAGGGTTCGCCTTGTGCGCGTGCAGAGAAACGACAGCAGCAGAGGTATCTAGGACGCATCCTCACACGTATCCCGAGTGGAGAAAATGACGATGGCAGTCTCAACTCATCCCAGGCTGAAGTCTGCATGATCAGTGAACTCTCACATCATGAGCAGGAGACTGAGGCCTTGAGTCGCAGGAGCAGTAATGAGGCGTCGCCAGAACGTGTACAACCGGACAAGAAGCCAGCCTTCACGTTACTACGAAATTCCGAAATAGAAGACCAAAAATTGGAAGCAACTGCTGAGCAAATTGTGGACACATCACGCCTCTCTGCATATGATGCTCAGTTTGGTGACAATAGAATGAGCCTCGCACGGAAAGGTCTGCTTGAGCGACAGAGTCTCGAGGACTGCTGCCTCAGTGCGGAGGGTGAAGATACGACGAATACCAGTACGTCCTTCGTCCATGTACATGGTTGGGGAAAAGTATTAACTGTAAACAAAGGGCAATCTCTCCCTGTATTCCGCCGGCCAGAGCGTCCTGCTCGTCTGCGTAGTGCTTCAACTGGGCAAGCTAGTTCTAGTGTGGATACACCACCGCTGTCAACATCGCGCTCATCGACACAGTTTACTGGGTCACAACACAGTATCGACCTCGATCGCCTGAACGTACTTCTCTCCAACTCGACAAACGTCATCAGTGACGCGGACAGAGCAAGGCTAAGGAGACGAGGAAGTGGACATCGCCGCAGAATTTCCGAGGCACGTGCATCCCGCACCTCGTCCGTCTACGAGACCATTGAAGAGGCTCCTGAGATCTTTGGCTCGATTTCCAAGGATTCTCTGGACTTATCGATGACTCAAAATTCGTCTATGACCGACGTGAGCAATGTGCGTTGGGAGAATGAAGACGTTGGTCCTGCGCTGCGGATGATTCGTGACCTCCAAGACGAGGCACGATTGGTCGTTGATGCAAGTCGATCTCAGTGGGCAGATACGGCATACTCCATTGATGCCGTTCAATGTAAGCTAGTATTCTTTTGTCGCTTAGACCTTTTTTGACACTCCTCGAGCATTCCAACCACCACGTAACCCAGCAAGCTGGAAAGCTTTACTTGAGCATTCTCAGAAAAACTATGGACCTCTGCCCCCGGAGTTGTCGGGTTGCGCTCGACGCGCACGAAAGGCTTCCCGGCCCTCTCCTTATCCCCGCACTCGTGTTTTTACCAGAATCCCTGTATTCCAGAGACCCCCTGCTCCTGCAAATGTTCTGCTATCGAACGCAGACATCACTGAACGGGATTCAAAACGATTGCAAGAATTGACTGTGGATCCCAATACCAGGGCAAATGTCCGCCAAGGGCAAACTGGAGTCGGCTTGGCGAAACCAGTCTTCACTGTGACAAGTGGGGCCAAGAAAAGCACCAGGGGTGCATCACCCAGAAAAGACGGCACTATTCGTCCGCTCCGTTCCAGTACAATTTCCAGCCCTCGCAAGTTGATGCCAATCGCTGGAAAGCGTGGGAATGGCAAGTCTCCGTTGAAGAGCAAGTACGGCAAGGAAAATAATGATCAGCGCGCGTCACTCAGGTATTTCATAGTTATTGTATCTTAGGCTATCTGGTTAACATGGCATCAGAGCTGATTCACTTAGATTCGCTCGACCGCACCCTCACAATCGATCATCCGCAATCCCTCGGACTTTACGCATATAAACGCGTGCCTTCGGATGGCCGATATATAAACCAGAAACCAATTATGCTTTTTCCACATGGGTGAAAACTCTAGGTTCTTAACGTACCTCAGCGTAATCGGCGCTTTGGTGGCGAAGATCAATGGACTATATGCTATGAATACTTATCCCTATGCTCTCCCTTCTTTCCGCCATTCACGATTTTCCAGGCTTGCCGTTAACCGGATTAACTACAAGAGTGATTTTTCTTTTCTGCTCCATTGATATTCATTATACTCACGTTCTGACGAAGATACTCCTTCCGAGTGCTGAACGACCTTTCTTATCCTTCTAATGTACATAACGTTCACGAACATTTTCCGCTTTCACGATCTGTAATGTTTATTAGCTTTTGTTTCTGTACTGTGGTAGTGTGTTCCCCCACACTATTCCACTGTGTTCTTCGAGCTTTACTTTGTCAAGTCTACACTTCGGACTGTGCTCTACAGGACAAAGGCTATTTATTGATTTCCTTGATTAACATTCATGTAATTACGAGATGTAACGTTGCTTGTTGTTGAAGTAATGTGAATATATTTAGCATTTACACTGCACTGTCTCAGTCTCGTCTAGCTTTGCAGTCAGCCCGTACAGGGACCGGGGTAAGGAGGCGAACGCTAATGACTGGTGCTATCCCTGTTTCAGTCAACTTTGCATCATCCCTCCCAGCCTCACCAGTTCTTTGCTTATTATGAACGTGTTTCTTCCTAGAACTTGACTGAGCGGACGTCAAGTGATGTCTGTTCTGCCGGTAGCATCAAGCCAACATCTTACCTCGACTTCGTACTTCGACTTTCTTCCCGACGAGCTTATTGATTACATCTGCCGTCATGCCCGAGCTGTTCCTGCTTTGCCGATTTACGAAAAAAGATCTTCTTGGTTCTGGGAGCCCTCTTCTCGATATATGTTGGAGATGCGTTTCGTGAGTCTTCTATTTGCATTTATGTATCTCTATGTTCAGTGCTAAACATGAAACACTTCTACTACTGCTTTGCCTGCACCAGCTTCCCCCAACAGACCATGTGGCGCTCCGACTCGTATCCAAGCGTTTAAACAGAATCGCCACGCCATATATCTGGGAAACCCTAGACGTCCAACTATCCCATCAAGTCGAGCAAGCATCTTACTTACGAGCAGCTAAGTCTCGCGGGGCGCTCGGTTGGAAGCGTTCTCGAAAATCTGTGCATATCCTAGACTATGTCGCATCGCATCCTGACTTGGCTTCTATGGTCCGTATCTTGTGTCTTCGCGTCTCCGGGTATACTTTCACAGCGTTAGCAAGAGGAGAACCGGAGAATGATCTTGAGAGATGTATTGAAAGGCTGTTGACTGCGACTACTGGCTTGACGGCTTTTTGTATCGACAAGGCTGATCTTTTGACACCTCTCGCTGTCTCTCGTATAAAAACCTACAAGACTTTGCGACTTCTGGATCTGCGTACTGTAGGCTTTCGCGGTGCAGGTCTTCGCTTGCTTTCCGAGGAAGAACTGCCTAACGTCGAGTGGTTCGGCCTGAGTGTGTTTAACCTAGCGTACAAGTCGTTGAAACTACCGAAGAACTTGAAGAGAGTGTCCTTGCATTGTGATAGCATGTCGACCTTCGTAAGGAACGAAGCTGTTGTTCTCGATTCGAATATTTCTATTGGCACGATCGAGGAACTTGCGATATATGATAAACATGGAGACGTGGCGTTGTTTATGAGTAGACACTTCTTGGTGAGTTTAGTTTCAGCACGTGCTTTTAATATCCACATACATGCATTCTCACTGACCGAAATATCTCAACCAATTTAGAACGCTCGAGCTCGTAACCAAGCAGTCGCGTTGAAAGAGCTCTTCCTCGACCTAGAATGGTGTCATACAGCTCGCCTCAGCGAGATCTTATCAAACTTCCGTGGACGCGAATTGGAGAGCCTAACGATACGGAACTTGCATCGAATGACTCCTGCCGGGCTGATGGACATCGTGGCATATTTTCCAAATTTGCGTCATTTGGCGTTGTCATCGAGTACGACAGATATTGTTGCGGCGTGGATCACTGGATGCTTCGTAAGTGTTTTAGTGTTGCCCGTCATGAAACCCAGGGCACCTTCATTAAAACAAATTATCATTATTGTCAGCATGATTATGTTGACGCGTTACAGGGCGCGAAGCATTTGGAAAGTCTCGAGTGGGATAACTCTGCGCTGTGTTATTTTGGCAAAGGAGCCGAGGAAAGCACGGAAGGTGTGTCTCTATTTCCCCCTGGTTGCTTTCGTAGAGATCCCGTCTAAATGCGACTTTCGGCGTGATTGACAGGATGTAGAGCAAGCGTCGTAGGCGTCGTGAAACTCCCAAGCCTAAAAAAGTTGCGCCTTATCTCATTTGCGACGTGTACGGTTACAACGTGCGCCATCCGAAGGAAAGAATGCGGAGCGTACGGAGGGTATGATTTACACAAGTCGGATATTTTCGTTGACTTTGAGGCTAGTCAACAACTAATAGCGAGCCTGTACAATGAGAGAAGAGAAAATTAGAATTTAATACTAATAGAAAACCAGAAATAATTATTTAATGCTTTCGGTGATGACGTGTCGTCATGGTGTAGATCAGGGACCGGCCGGAAGAAGCGAGATCTCTCCGTTTCGCGAAATTAAAAACACAGAAACGGCTGCCACTGCGGCAGCTGACAAAAGCCGTGGGCGCCATGGGGGTCTGCGAATAGACACGGCCTGGTATCTGTAGGCCGTTCATCATAAGAACGCTCTACCAATCTTGATGGATTCTGATGATCATTAACAAATTTGAACTTCTGTGTCATTAGGACTGTGTAAAAATTGCCGTTGAGACCGAGTCAACCGAGGCGGCGCAGTCCTGGGTGGAAACCGTCGTGCAAAGCGAGTATTTATAGATAAAAACACTGCGCGCAATTCTCGTGGACGGGCGGGTGTGCAACGGACCACTGGAAGGGGCAAAAGTGAATAAGAAAGTAGAGAAAGAAGAGAGATTGATGGGAATAAATTCCCACCAGCTGGTGGATCGTGATTGGTTTCGCTGCGGGAAGCCTGGGGGTTTAGAAGTCACAGCATAAACAGCGTGCGGAGAAAGTCCGGTTTCAGACGGACTCTCTCTATATTGAGTCATCCTTGTTTGCAACGTCTGCAGGCAGGAAAAGTTATCTACAATAAACGTGCAGGCAAAGGTCCAGAGTAAGAACGAGTAGGACTAGTCTTTGCAGAATGCAGTTAATTAAAGCTCGGGACGGAATGAACAGGGGCGCAAGCAGTCATCATTTTGAGTGTAAGCGAGGGGTTCGTCACGTGTTTGATATCTGTGTGTGCCAAGCTTGAGGACAAATGCAATGCACCAGCCCTCCCTGTGTCCTCCCAGTCTGCCATCATCGCGCCGTTCCCTCAAGGCTTCCTTCGTTCCTCATCCACCAACACGCTCTTCTTGCTTGGTTGACGATTTGCACGCCGTAGCGCGTGCGTAGGTCACGTCCATACCTATCCCGGCAGCCTTTTTGATTATACCATCGGCGCTGCGCGTCCGTCTTCTTCTACGCGTCCCTTAGCAGAAAGGAGCTTGCAGATATGGGCTTGTTTAGACAACACCTCCATCCGGACGACCTGGACACGGACGAGGAGAATGACGAGACTATAGACCCGGAGCTCCGGCTTCGGACCGTCCGTACGGCGGCTTCTACTATCGCAGAGTCGTTTCGGGATGAGCAGCGCGTCCAGAGACGCAGGTCGAGGCTCCGACAGCGTTCCCTTAAGCTATTCCGGGGAAAGAGCAAAGAAAAGCGGAAGGCGGAATCATCGGAGACAGACAGTGCGGTTACCGAGGATGGGAAACCGCCCGTCCAACCTGTCGGGAAGAGGAGAAACATCTATGTCAACTCGACGCTCCCACCTTCGGAGTGTGATGCGAATGGTGAACCTCTGGCGCGATATGTACGGAACAAAGTGCGGACTACAAGTAAGTTTAAGTTTGTTCTGCCATGTTGAACCCTTATCTGACGTCTACTTACTTACTTAGAATATACTATTTTATCATTTATTCCTAAGAATCTTTATGAACAATTTCGACGGTGAGCTTTGATTTATTTATTGATGGCAGCAGTCGATCTGATGCTTTTCTTAGAGTGGCAAATCTTTACTTCCTGGCATTGGTTCTCATCCAAGGTATGTCATGCCGTATAATTACATTGCATAAGCAATAGATAACACTCGCATCAGTCTTCCCTGTCTTTGGTGCTGCTGCAGCGCAAATATCCATGCTTCCGCTGGTATTCATTTTAGCAGTTACAGCAATCAAGGATGGTGTAGAAGACTATCGGAGAGCAATAACGGACGAAGAAGTAAATACTTCGTCCGCTACGAAGCTCGGTGACTGGCGAAACGTAAATCAACCCAAAGACCCTCGTCCGTGGTACGAGAAGGCTTTGGGTCTCAACCCACCTGGGAAAGTTACAAAGGGTGTACGGAAACTGAGAGAGCGGGAGGCCGATACTTGGGGACGCATCGTACTTCAGAGAAACGGTGAAATGGGTGATGCCATGAGCGATAGCGATAGGACAGCTGCAGCGCACGACCAAGGACCTGACGCGAGCAGTGTTACGCTTGGAAAGGCTTCTGCATACTCCCAAATTGGAGATCCGAGTGACTATTCGCTTTCATATCCGCCAGTACCACCGTTGCCTGGTTACGCGACCCGAGCATCTTCTTCAAGTCTTAGCAAGCGACCAAGAAGCGACTCATTGGGTCAAGTTTCAGGGGAGGCAATGTCTACGCGGTCTCAGACTCAGAAAGTACTTGGCGTAATCGATTGGAACAGACGAACGCCGGGAACTGCGCGTTGGGAACGCACGCTTTGGAAGAAGCTCGAAGTGGGGGACATTGTCTTATTACGCGATAATGACCAAGTCCCGGCCGACATTGTCGTCTTATCCACTTCGGAGGAGGATGGCCTATGCTATCTCGAGACGAAGAACTTGGATGGTGAGACAAACTTGAAGCCTCGACGGTCATTAAAGGCTACGTCTTCTCTGCAGAGCGAGGAGGACATCGAACATGCAAGCTTCGTTCTGGACTCCGAGCCACCTCATGCTAATCTATATCTCTTTAATGGTGTACTGAGATATCAGGATCGACATGCAAGAGAAGAGAAAGCGGAGCCAGTGACAATCAACGAGCTACTTCTCCGTGGGTGTTCAGTCAGGAACACGAACTGGATCATTGGTCTGGTCGTTTTCACGGGTGCGGATACCAAGATCATGCTGAACGGTGGAAACACGCCTAGTAAGCGGAGCAAGATTGAACGAGAGACGAACTTCAACGTGGTCGTGAACTTCATTGTCTTGATACTCATGTGTCTTGCGACGGGCATTGCGAATGGTGTGCTCGACGCCAAGACAAATACCAGTAAAGCTTTCTTTGAAGCCGATAGCGAACCGTCAAGCTCTCATATCATCAATGGTATTGTCACATTCGCGTACGTGGCCTATAATATAATTTCATTCGCACTGTCTCACTTCCTTTTGTTTCCAGATCTTGCCTGATTGTGTTCCAGAACATCGTGCCAATTTCACTTTACATTTCCATCGAAATAGTGAAGACCATCCAAGCGTTCTTTATTTCTCAGGACATCGACATGTTTTACGCTCCATACGACACCGCATGCGTTCCCAAGACCTGGAACATATCCGACGATCTCGGACAAATTGAATATATTTTCTCCGATAAAACGGGCACGCTGACACAGAACATCATGGAGTTCCAGAAATGTTCGGTGAACGGCGTACCGTACGGGGAGGGAATCACAGAGGCCCAACGCGGTTCTGCGATGAGGACTGGGAACGCAGTCGTCACGCCGGAGGAGCAGACCGAGCAATTGGCAGCACTCAAGCAGGATATGTTGCAGAAAATGTCTCGCGGATTTACAAACCATTGGCAACAGGCCGACAAGCTCACGCTCATCTCACCGAAGCTCGCATTAGAACTTTCAGACCGGTCATCCCCCCAGCACGAGCATCTTATTGCATTTTTCAGAGCCTTGGCGTTGTGTCATTCCGTCATTGCGGACAGACCTGATCCACAGATGCAGCCATATCACGTCGATTACAAGGCGGAATCACCGGATGAAGCAGCGCTAGTCGCCGCGACGAGAGATGCTGGTTTTCCGTTCGTTGGGAAAGCAAATGGTTTCCTTGAAATAGAAGTCATGGGTCGACCGGAACGTTTCGCTCTTTTGAAACTCCTCGAGTTCAACAGCACACGCAAGCGTATGAGCGTTATCGTACGCAGTGTAGAGGGTCGGATTATCTTATACACGAAGGGTGCTGACTCGGTCATCTATGCTCGCTTGGCAGCTGATCAAGACCAGGAACTAAAAGTGAAAACGCAGAAGGATATGGAGGACTTCGCAAACGGTGGGCTGAGAACGCTTTGCATCGCTTATCGCATTCTGAGCGAAGAGGAGTACACTGAATGGGCAAGGATATATGACGCAGCGGCTTCGGCAGTGAACGACCGAGAAGAACTTATCGAACAGGCTTGCGAGAAGATTGAACATTCTTTGTACATCCTCGGTGCGACAGCTTTGGAAGATAAGCTTCAGGAAGGCGTACCAGATGCTATCGAGATGCTGCATAGAGCTGGGATCAAGCTTTGGATCCTTACCGGGGACAAAGTCCAAACGGCAATCGAAATTGGATACAGTTGCAACTTGCTCAAGCAGGACATGGACGTCATGATCGTGACAGCTGCCTCGAAGGATGAAGCCAGGACGAAGATAGAAGCTGGGCTAAATAAAATTGCGTCTGTTCTCGGGCCGCCGAGATGGACGTCGGAGTCGCGTGGTTTCATACCAGGTGCTCAGGCTAGCTTTGGTATTGTTATTGATGGAGATACGCTTCGTTACGCTTTGGAACCTGATTTAAAGCCGATGTTCTTGAACTTGGCGACACAGTGCGAGACTGTCGTTTGTTGTCGAGTGTCCCCTGCGCAGAAGGCATTGACCGTTAAGCTCGTGAGTACTTCGAAATGCTGCGTCGCTTTTGCTCCTGTACTAAAAAAAATTGTTCTAGGTCAAGGAAGGACGAAACGCTATGACGCTGTCGATTGGCGACGGTGCGAACGACGTTGCCATGATTCAAGAAGCAAACGTTGGGTGCGGACTTCTTGGCCTCGAAGGCTCGCAAGCTGCGATGTCTGCGGATTATGCTTTTGGCCAGTTCCGATTCTTGACGAAACTTCTTATCGTCCACGGAAGATGGTCTTATTTGAGGGTTGCGGATATGCATGCCAACTTCTTCTACAAGAACGTTATCTGGACACTGGCTATGTTTTGGTATCTTCCCTTCAACAGGTGCGTCAATTGTTTCGCGCAGGACATTTTTACCTTTTCTTACCCTCATGTTTTTGTTTGCAGCTTCGACGCAACCTATCTTTATCAGTACACATTCATTCTACTCTACAACATTGTCTTTTCGTCATTGCCAGTCATTTCTATGGGAGCATTCGACCAGGATATTAATGCAAAGGCTGCTCTTGCATTTCCCCAACTGTACTTACGCGGGATTCGTGGACTAGATTATACCCGGCTGAAGTTCTGGCTGTACATGGGAGATGGCCTTTATCAATCGGTGGTAGTCTTCTTTATCCCGTATTTCGCATGGTCTCTTGGACCAGCCGTGGCATGGAACGGTAAGGGTATCGATTCTCTCGCGGACTTCGGCACAACGATTGCTGTCGCGGCCATCATCAGCGTCAATTGCTACGTTGGCATGAACACTCGATAGTGAGTTCTTGATGTTATTCGTAGTGTGCCATGCTCAAACATCGCTTTTTTCAGTTGGACAGTGATCACTTGGATTGTTGTTATTGGCTCGTCCCTGGTCATGATCATTTGGATAATTATCTATTCTTTCTTTGAGTCAGTCGACTTCAACAACGAGGTCGTAGTCCTCTTTGGCGAGGTCACATTCTGGGTCACCGTACTTCTCACGGTCGTCACAGCTCTGGGTGAGTTTACCAAACAGACAGCCTTCATCCGTTTTATATGTATCATATTAACGGCTATGTTTAGCACCCCGATACGTGGTGAAGGCCGTCCGCTCATGTTTCTTCCCGCTCGACCGTGACATTGTTCGCGAAATGTGGGTCAGGGGAGACCTCAAGAAGCGACTCGGTATCAAACGTCGAAAGGATCCTGAAACTGGCGATACGAATCGAGGCTTTGAGACAACGCCCATTCGAGCCTATCATGATCGGTCCATATCTACAGGCAGTCAGTACGAAATTGGATACGAACCCGCATATGCGAACAGCCCAGGAGAGTTTGAGATGACTCCGCCTCAGACTGTTGGAATAGCCAACCGAGCTCGTCAAGAAGAAGACTGGCAACAAGGACCTCAATATGTTGTCGCCGGAGATCCTGATGAGGCGAACTACCTAGCACCTGGGGCGCATGCTTCACCTGGTGCCGGCTCTGTTTCACCTCACCCATCATATTATTCTGCTTCAGACATTCCTCCTCCATCACCTCTGCCGGAACCACAATACCTATGTTACAACCCGGAGCCTACTATGATATCCAGAGTAACAACACCCGTATCTGCTCACACACCGCCACCTAAGAACAACTTAGAACTACCATATCAGCCGCCATTACGGAACGAACCAACTGCTCGCGGCGGAGGAATTGAGACGCGAGTACGAAGTCCGCCATCGGCCTTCCCAGCACGGATGCAATCGACTTCTCCCTTCCCACGAGCTCCCTCGCAAGCAAGTGAGTATTCGTCGGATCCTAGAGCTGCATCGCGCGCCGCAAGTGAGCATTCACGATATGCGACGGCGAGTGAAGGATGGGATGACGAGGACGACGCGTCCACCATCAACGAACATACACATGGTAGACCCGGCTCAACCTATTCTACATCACCTCATGCCTTATAGCACATTCCTTCATTTTTATCCTGACTTTCTTGTATCTACTTTCTGCATCCTGTTTTGCTTTGACAATCTCTACGTCTTTCGTGTAACTTAATTTGCCTAAAGCTCTGATTTCCAATCTTTTTGACACACCCGTTCATTTGTCTCTCACTTCCAATTGATGCTTGTGATCACTGTTCGGATTTTGCGCTGACGGACCTCCCTCATCCTCACGGTCTTTGTACTCTACATGAACTTAGTGCACCTATTTATTTACCTCTATGGCTTGGATGTTTACAGTAACATTAGAAAGGAATGCAATTTGGCTTGGACTCTCTCATGTGACCGTGATCGACACCTAAATCAATAAAATACTCTGCTGCACATATAATTCTATTTCTAAGTTCCCGTTCGCACTTCGGCTGTGCAGAAAATGTATTTCGACTTGAATGTGCCTGTGCCGGCACCAGCAAGCCAGCCTCAGACATCAGGGCAGACATCCAAGAAAAACAAGGGAAAGCAGCCCGTATCGCAAGCCCAGCAGCAGCAGGTGTCCATTGTTTACAGTGCGAGTCAGATCGCGAAGTTGGAATCTCGCATCGACTTGCTGGTACGACGTATGTTTCGTCAATTTCCCCTTTTCCTGCTACACGAAACTGATTTGTTGTTGTTGTTTTTCTTCTTATATATCACAGTAGGATATTCCGTTATTGCTTTTAATCAAATGGTTACCAGCAAAGTCGATCCAAGAAGCCATGTTAATATTCTTGATCCCTTGCTGAAGCAACTGAGGAAAGGGACAGGCATCCTATTTCTAAAGCGGTTAACCATTGTCCTAGACGAAGACAGCGAAAAGGGAAATGGTCTTGTAAGTTCTCGCCTTCATATCTTCACCTCCACCATCCATGTGTTCCTTCGCTCAAACAAGTTTCAGTCAACTGGCAACACTTCACTCTTCACTTCTTACGACATCCTATCCCTCCACCCAACAACCCAAGCCTCACTAGCAAGCGCCTGCCTAACTCACACGCAACCTTCCCCTTTGACGACGCACATCATATCCCTTCCGCTCACTTCTCCGCGTCTCCCCTTTCGTTTGAAACACACGCTGGTACGCACTGCCATTAAGAACGGTGCGGTGTTTGAGATAGACTACGCCGGGGCCTTGGGTGGAGGAGGTACAGGAGGATTAGGAGAAGATTGCCGGAGGAATTGGTGGGCTGCTGCGCGTGAACTTGCACGCGTTACGAAGGGAAAGGGTCTGATTGTGAGTGGAGGCGTGGATGACGGGCAGTACCTCCGTGCACCTAGGGATGTTGCGAACCTGTACGTATTACTCGTCATGACTTAGTTTTTACTCTAACAGATAGAGCGTCTAAGGATCACACTCCTCGGACTTGCTCAGAATTTTGCACACGATGCAGCAACTACTACACCTAAATCATTACTGTTACGCGCTCGTAAGTCTAATCTACCAACTTCCTTCTCGAGCCACTGCTAACTAAGGACTACAGAAACTCGAAAAACGTATCGAGCAGTACTATCAGAGCCAACACTCATAATGCCAATGAATCAACAGCAATCGTCATCGGTTGACAATCAAGACTCCGGTGTATCATCTAAACCCACGGCCGTTCCATCTCTATCAGCGGATGCCGATATCGTACCTCAACAAAACAGCAGCAATGCGGACATCAAACAACAAGAGGCGGTCCTCCTTCCAACAGACACTCCGGACGAACTTGAGCTCGAAAAGGCTTCTTCCGAGAACAAACCACCCACCAAAGCCAACGGAGCGAAGCGCCCATTCGAAGCTTTAGGAGAAGAGCCGCCGACGAAAGCAAATGAGATATCGGGGGACGTCGTAGGGCATAGGCATAAGAAAAAGAAGAAGCGGGCGAAAGCGGCCGCCGGGATAAATACATCATGACTTCGAGTGAGATTTCAAGACCATATTGATTTCAATCATTTTTCGAGATTGATAACCGCATCAAGTACACTATTACACTGTTGTAATATTCATCGCACTGTATCCTGACATATTGCTGGTTATTACAGACAAATTTGGCTGCCGGTAGAGTGCTCTGGTACCATGGCTTGAGTGACGTTTCGCCATATTGATTTTAATCATTTTCGAGATTGATAGCCACATCAAGTACAACCACTACATCATTGTAATACTTATACTAATTGCACTGATGGTACTGGTACCCCGACGTATGAGTTAGCCATTACGGACAAAGTTGGCCGCTGGTAAAGTGCTGCTGCGCATGTTTCCAATGTTTGCTGCGAACAAGATGGTAAGATGAGTGGCATTGAAGATAGATGTAACAGAAAAGGGAGTTTGAACGTACCTGCTTTTCTGTCCCAAGCGTTGTGGGTTCTGCTGCGACTCTTTGCTTGAAGGTCCAGACGGTCCTCGTAAAAGCGCCTTACTTTACCTGGTGGCAGAGTGCGTGAAGCAGTAGACGTAATATGCGATACTTTTGGGGCCACTTTGCGAACAACTTTCGAGCTTAAATGGGGGAAAACGGTTAATATTATAACTTATTAATATCTCATCGTTGGGATAGCATTTCCACTCACCCCAATATGATATCTTTTGTCCGTCCCTTTCTGTTGGGCTTGCGTTTTCGTTCGGGTTTTGATTTGAGTGTTGTTTTCAAAGGTGGAGATTTTTGTTCATTAGAAGCCTGCGTCTTGGAAAGAGCATCAGTAAAAAGGTGATCGGGAAGGTATTCCATCCTCGATTGCTTCTGTGGAGGCATGTTGAGTAACTCCTCGTCGAATTCTTCCTCTTCCTCAGTGTCGTCGTAGTCGTCGGCAAAATTCAAGTTCCCTTGTTCTCCGTCAGAATTTGACCTTGAGTCGTCCGAGGCTTGTCCATATTCAATGTCAGAACCAGATCCAGTTTTGGGCTCAGATTGTTCCCCGAATCCTCCCCAAGCATCACCACCATCCTCGTCCTCTTCTGCCTGTGCCTCTCGCATAGCGCGCTCCATTCTATCCTCCAAGTTCTGTCTATCGTCCGAGACGCTACTCTCCTCAGCATGCTTCCCCTTTACGCTCGTCTTTAATTTCTTCTTCGGCGCGCTTGTGCTTTCCCCTCGTGTCTCAAGAGCTCTTTTCTTCAAGTTTTCGTCCGTCCGTCTATTTTTCTCTTTCCTCTTGCGTTTTGCATCGGACTCGGCGGCTTGTCGAGCTTCGTTGAGCTGTTTCGCATGCTCCTTCGATTGGTCGAGAGTAATGGCTTCTGGAGCGTCGTCATCGTCATTATCGCTAGAATTTGTGTTTGAGATAGAATACGCTGCTCGTGAGGGTGCCATGGTATATCTACCGTATCTGGTGGTTAAGAGTATTCGAGCAATGTAGAATTAAAAATTAAAAAGGAAGGTCATGGTGAAGTAAGCAGTATTACGTAAACAGGCGTACGATTGACGCGAGTCAATGCACTTTCTTTCTTCTCACATCAACGTAGTTTGTAACCTTGCAGATGGTTATTTTTACATACAAGCGGAGTATTCGCGTCCAATTCCCTTCATACAAAGTTTGAAGGCAGCCATGACAAGTTAGTAGTATCCAACGCCTGCATAATCGAAATTCCCAAACACTTGACAGCCTTAAGAGTTAAGATATACTGATCTTGTAATACTCCAGGCCTATTAAATGCTGACCTCCCGTCATATAATTGGTTGTGTGCATGTAAGTCATTCTCAATAAATATGTCAACGGGTGTAAGTGTTGATTTAAGTGATAATTTAGTATTGCAGAGCTGAAGTTGCCCCCCCTCCCCCACGAACATTGAACCAGGAAGAACCAATATTGATATTCGGCGAGTCTAAGTTAACTGATTCGAAAATCTATCATTGGGGGGCAGGATTCTTATAATACTCCATCTATGAAAATGAACCATTTATCTCACCTCCCCTGTTACCCAGAATAGAGGTTTCCGAATTGGGGCGCATCTCGACACATCAAGACCCAGTATTTCAACGGTGGGGTCCACAAAGCCTTTCCTTCGGCTATCCTTCTTAAGGACCGCTTTAAGGGTGGGCATTATTGTAAGCGGCTGATCTTCTTTCTCATCCAAAAATATTTCGACATTGATCCCCATTTACGGCTATGTGATCCAGACAGCCCTGGAACCAACAAAAGCTTAACAAAATCAGAGACTCTCCCTGGTCGGTATATTTCAGGTGTCGACGTATTTCAGGTCAGTGAACTTAGGAGGAGTCTAACTAAGGGATATTCATACTGGCTTCTTGTTATACCCTACCACTGAGGTCCAATGTTAACGTTACTGTAAGCGCTTAGTAAAATTGAACAATCGAAGGTGGTTGCATCCGTGGAATCCATTGACTACGTGAGTCCTTAAGAAGCACAGGGCCAATAATTTGCCGAACATCACTTCAAATGACATCAGACATTGGGGGAACATTGCTTGGGAAACTCTATTGATGTACCTTGAGGCTTCTGTACCATTCGCACGTCTCGTAGCGAACTTCAGCACAAGGGACCACACAAGTAATTTCTGCTCTTGCTATCTCCGTTAAGATTATGTGCTCTGATTTCAGGCGGCAGCAAAAGTCCAAAGATCAGTGATTTAGTAGGACTATCCACCGCAATTTACAGAAAGCCGGACGTATTCTTTCCATTCATGGCTTTGTCATCTATCGCCTTGGGGAGAAGTATAGTTTCAAATTCATGTGGACGATTTGCTCAGAGTTTCATGACAAGGAAAGTATTGAGCACAGTCGTGGCGCAGTCAGTTCAGCAATGCTTGACATGTGGACCGGAAAGCACGGGAAACTGCGATTGTCGTTCCTGATGACTGATCGATCTCACCTGAACCGCTACGCAGTTGATAAAATTGATATGTCCGAACGCCATGATGGCGTGCACTGCTTAGCAATTCCGAATCTAGGTCTCATTATCTCGCTTCCTTGTGATTATCAAACCACCACGGCTATCCGAGTCGGTTGTTGATGACGCAGTTCGCGTAAAGTCGAAGCCCCTGCGCACGCGACATTTGACTTTGTGGCGATCACGGCCCCCAGATTTGGACCCACAGACGTAACTAAACCGTCATCGGGATGATCGAGCAAAATAAATATGACATTGTGAGTGATTAATACAAAAATAAGGTAGATGCGATTGTTAGCGAGTCTGAATTCTACATGTCCATCCTAAACTTAATGTAAATCTATTGGAGTATGGTGCAAGACAGGGAAGTTTGTGTGTACCAGTGCAGCATTATGATGGACCCAGTTGCCGATTGTATTCGACAGCGGACGGACGAACGTCCGCGTATGCTTATGCCGTCCGTATCTCGTTGACGAACCGATGAGGGACTCACATGACATCCATGTAGTCTCGGCACCGATCCATGAGCCTAGCCCAACGCCCGCCATTCCAAGACCTAATCAGTGGCCAAACGTCCTGCGGGGAGACGCGCTCGATCCATATGAGTATCGCACACAGCGCGAAGTCCGCGTATGTAATGTCTCGTCCCGACACCACCACTCCATCGCCGTCTTCTCCACTGTTCTTGTCGAGAATGTCTGAAAGTGTCTTGAAGTTCTCGCGAACTGCCTGCCAAGCTTGCTCGCGCTGTGGACCTGACAAACCTGCATCGGGAGGAGGCCGTTGGTTAGAAGGGAATATGTATTCCTGACTGCGAGGATTAAGCCGTTGCGCACTTAAGGGAATCATAATTGGCAGGAGGGGCTTCATGAACACGTCCTGCAAATAATGGACGAATAGCGTCTGAAGGGCCTTGCTCCCGTCCGGATACAAGGGCCGTGCCGGATAAGTTATTTCGAGATACTCTGAAATCGCTGAGGCATTCGAAAGTACGACGGGTGCGGTGGGAGACCGGATTGGATCGACTATGACTGGTAGAGTGAATACTGGGCGCCCGTCAGAGCGCTTTGAGGTGTGCGGGGCGCCGATTTGGCGCATGGTACGATCGATATCGGGTACCTCGATCCATTTCGTGCGGTATGGGAGTCGCTTATAATTCAGGATCAACCTAAAGTAGTACCATCTCGTTAAGCGGCTCCGCATAGGAATAGAAGACAGCGTACACACCTTATCCTCCAGATACTGGGTGCCCACCCATTCGACTGTGAAGAGGGCGTGTCATATAGTGTAATGTATGGCTGCGACATTGAGGTCGTATTGAGTCGCTGAGAATACTGAATGAAAACATACTCACACTTGACTTCATTTAAAGTGTAGGCAATCGAGAAGGAGTCTCGAGGTTAGCAAGTGGTAGGCAATATGAAACAGCTCTGCCTTCGTGTTTAGGATAAAGTAGCACAGATGATTTGAGATGATCTGTCTTGCTCAGCTTTTATGTCTGGGAGCGAGCGCAAAACAGACTACTAGGATGTTGCTGATGCGCTTATGCTCGTCGCAATTCCCCGGGTTTAAAACCGAGCGCCATTACGTGCATGAGCGAATCACATATTCTGACACGGAGAGAAACAAGAGGCGAGGCAAGGGCTCTGTGTGTCCGTGACAGGGTGGATGAGTGGCGGTCATTTTGATATACCGTTTCTTTGTATGAAGCGTAGTAAGCAGGTGCTGAGTCATACTTTGGACTGCGGTTGGACATCCAACCAGTAATTCGACGAAAGCTGGCCTCAGTCCTGTGCAATGAACAATGATGCGCAGGCAGTGCCCAGAGACCCCCATCACCGTTGCAAGTCAATGACATACCGCACGAGAAGCAGTTTGACAGAGTTGACCGCGTTCGAGAATGTTGGCAAACGAACTGGCAATCAATCGTTGAGTCACAGCATGTGAGGTAGCAGAGCATAGCGACTAATATTTTGCGTAACGACATATTTCAGAGACGATGACCAACGGCACCGGGACAGGTCTGTGACAGTCAACGTGCAAATATAGACAGCTCAGAGCTATTGATGCCATCATAGTGCGGCGCGGATTCATTCCTAGTAGAAGCGATAAGTCAAAAGACGAGCCTCTGGTCACTCCATTGCACAGCTGGATCAAGTTTCGATATAAGCAAGCAATGGTTCGGGGTCCATCCCGGTCCGTGTCCAGATTAAGCATGAGCCATCAGTCCGGCCCTAAGTCCAATGTTAAGAGGAAAGGGCCACTCTCCAGTACTCGACCTAAACGTGCGCAGTTAGATTTCGAATGTAGGATGATCGCATGAATTGCCGAGCCGCTGCTTGCACAGCTCCGACGCGTCGTTGTTTTCCTCTCAAGAAATGAGTAGCGGGCTAGAGCGCCAACCGAGATACGACCTAAATGCGTGGCACCAGTTGCAGTGACAGTTACTTCCACATCTGATCATCTGAGATGAATCCTTCATCAGTGGACTTTAAACTAGGATACACGGACATTGTACAGTCGGGTACTTGATCCGTGATCGTTTGTTGGCGGAATCTGAGACTGTGACACCGTAGGTCTAACGTCTTTCTTGTGCGATAATTCTTCTGTGGGATGTTTTGCCGAGAGTGTCGCTTGACCTCAGTCTAATACACATACATGAGGGGTCTCTGCAAGGTAAACCGGGCAATCTTAGGAGCGAGATGTCGCTGCATTTGTCGCAGCAGGGTGGAATACCATTGCTGTATCACGTGCTGAGTCGGCCTCAAAAAAGCTGAAACACCGGTTTAGGCGCACAAAGTAGCCCAAACATTGTTTTAAACAAATATTTGTGCTATCAAGAGGCTAATCCTACTACTGAACCCGCCGGCGGGCGTGCTCAGTAAGCTATCGACCGTCTTTACTAGCTCGAATGCCTCGTGGTTAATGTCAATTTTATGCTAAGTCTACGTTTGACTTCGGCATACCTTACCAATGTCATTGTCAATCAGGCGACTCGGAACAACTAACAAAGGATGACATCATTTCGAGTAAATGGGCACGATAAGTAGATAACAATCTCTCACTCTCTTGTGCAGAATAATGTTCTACTACACCTTAGACAACGAATAGGAGATATAACAATGCTTATTGTTCAAACACAGGCACAACCACTTTTCACTTGCATGTACTGTACTATTTTTCAATCTCCTGAGCATTCCATCTGTGGATTTCCCCCTCAAGGGTCAGCTGGCTATTTAGAGTAAATGGCGTCCACTGCCACGAAAGATCGAATCTCAGCGGCGTTTGACTCGTCCACGGCTCCGTCTGGAGTTGGTTACATATATGTTTTCTCTATCAGCCATGAAGGCATGCCGAACAATTTTTGGGGTGACGTTTCTATTCTGCAAGCCTCATCGTCCGGAACTCTGAAGAGAGGACTAAAACTCAGGGTCGATACAGGATGATTTTAGTGGCGCACCTGCGTGGACGGTAACCAGGAAGCTGGTTTACCATAACAAGGAAATCCCTAACAGTGAGGTATCCGGATTCCTACTCTTTGCAATGAGAAAATAAACACGTGTTAAGCGCGCAACGAGTGGACATAGCCACTCGGCGAAGAGGCTTTGAATAAGGGAATGTTTGAGATGAATGACTCGAGCCAAAAGGCTGACTATCACGTTGCATGGACGGCAACAAATTTGACCCTGGCTACATATGCAACCATACCAAGATTGACGCCGTTGATCAAGAGTTGGTGAGGAAGAAAGTCAAATAAAGCTTTCAGACGTAAAGCAGTGTGGCCGAGTGAACAAGAAGTTTTGGCAATCCCGCCGTAATTAAACAGGCAGAACAAGGCGTTTTAGTATTAGCCTTACTCGCTGTCATCAAAGGAAAGCATAGCATTGGAATAATCCATCGTCCAACGGCGCCTACTCGTGGCAGAGACGTCCTCGGAGACACCAAAATGTCCTTTAGGAGACTTCTCCACGAGAACTTGATGTATGAGGACACCGTCATCGCCACAGATTGCATCAATATCAAGCTTTTTACAAAGTGTCAGAGGCGGAGGTCATCACCGCATTAGTTAATTTGTATTGAAGAAAGGGACCGAGAGCAAGATTGATGTGCCACGTCGGAACAACCTAAGAAGACGTGATATTAACCCTTCGCAGCGCGCGTTTCCGTCGGCATTTCAAGAATACGACGTGCAGCTTTAGTCAAATCAAATCAATATTACTACCTGCTTTATGAGTCCATGGAGTTAAACTTCCATCGTTAACCGCTCTTCCTCTGGGTATGTAGGACAAAGCGTGCCGCCGATGCTTGGAAGCTCCCCTCCCTAATATTAAATTGAAATTAAGCCCTTCGGCCGGGCTGCATTTCTTTCCGCGACGGTTCCTGCCCTGAAACCGTTTTTGACCCAAATCTGCATATTCTGTCGGGAAGAGGGTTTAAGCCTTCCTCAGTAAAGCGAACCAAAAGGTCAGATATCGTCTCTGAGCCCAAGAGAGAAACGCAACGAGTGCAAGAGTAATGTATCGTGTCTGAATGGCCCAGGAATACGTGAAGTGATAGACACTTCCTAGAACGCATTAGAATTTCAAGAAGATGACGTGAAGTCCTAGTCAAATTAAATTAGCATTGCTACTCGTTTTACGAATCCATGGAGTTAATTCTTCACCCCCTCCCCCCCACCGCACCGCACCGCTCTTCCTAGGTGTGCAAGGCAAAGCATGCCACGGCGTGTAAACGCACCTCCTCCCACTCTAAAATCGAAACGAAGTTGAACTCTTCGGCCGGACTGTATTTCTCTCCGCACTGCTTCTTGACATGAAACTTCCTTGGACTAAATCCGCATATTCGATTGGGGACATGTGGTAAGCCTTTCCTAGTTTCGACAACGAACAAAAATGTCAGATATCGTCTCCGAGCCTTCCCAGTGCGCAATTCCTTCGGCATTTCAAGACGATGCCGCGTAGCTTCCAGTCAAATCAAACCAGTAATGCTATTCGCTTTACGAGCCCATAGAGTTAATCTTTCATCTTCAGTAGGTACGTAGTACGAAGCATGCCGCCGACGTTTAGTAGGCCCTTTCCTTAACATTGACTTAAAATTGAACCCTTCGGCCGGGCTGTATTTCTCTCCGCGACGCTTCTTGCCATGAAACAGTCCTGTGGCATAAATACGCACACTTGATTGGGGACACGTTTAAGCTTTTCCTAGATTCGACAACGGAAGCAAAGGTCAAATCTCGTCTCCGAGCCCAAGAAGCACAAAAGGCGCCTCTCAGAGACACGATTGAGCCGTGCATGCTCATTGGTTTCCTAGATGTGTACGTGGATACGAGTAGATGATCTTATTACCTGCATATTCGACTGGGGATAGGCTTCAGGGCCTTCCTAGTTTCAGCAGCGGAAGCAAAGGTCAAATCTCGCCTCCGAGCCCAAGAAGCACTAGAAGCACCTTCCAGAGGCACAATTGAGTTAGATACACTCATTGGTTTCCAAGATATGTGCGTGGATACAGGTAGACCATCACACCACCTGCGTATTCGATTGGGGATGGGCTTCAGGGCCTTCTTAGTTTCAGCAGCGGAAGCAAAGGTCAAATCTCGTCTCCGAGTCCACGAAGCACTAGAAAGTAGAAGCGCCTTTCAGAGACACAACCGAGTCAGATGTTTTCACTGGATTCCAAAATGTGTACATGGATACAAGACGCCCAGATGAGCGTATACACCGAGTTTATGACACGATGAAGTCCTAGGGTCGCCTAGAAATAGGGGCGTAATTCAATAAAATATATGTGTATATGTAAGCATAACACAATCACGTTCCATCACGGTCACAAGTAATACGCGATGCCAAAGTAGCAACCCGCGTTCGATTTCTCGTTTATTTCCACCCAACAAGTCGTCTGCTCATCGTTCATCGCCTTCCCATGCTCTTTCCTGCGCTAGCAGCGCGCGTCCTAGCGCGAAATGTCCTCGCATCATCTGCGTTCGTCGTTCGGCGCGCTCCTCTAGCCCAGATAACGCGCAGTTTCTCTGTCTCAAGTGTCACCTGGGCACAAGCTGCAGCAACGGCAAAGGCAAAACCGGCAGCCAAGAAATCAACAACAGCAAAGAAGACCACCGCGCGTAAATCAACAGCAGCGAAAAAAAGACCTGCTGCTAAAAAGAGTACAAAGAAAAGGAAGGCCGCCCCAAAACCAAAGCCAAAGAAGGCAAAGAAGAAAGTTGTTAAGAAAACGCGTAAGTTAACTGATATATTCCATAATTTATCTCTTTTTTTTGACACATGTCAAATATTACGCCTCTCTCCCTCCCAGCTACGATTAAAATTCTTCCTGAGCACAAACCTCCCAAGGGTCATGGGAACCCCTATACCTTCTTCTTCCGCAAATTCTTCGCAGGAGCTCAACGTAATGAAGGAGAACCCGGCAAGGAATTCGTGGCCAGAATCGGCAGGGAAGCAGGTCCTATTTGGACTGCTTTTTCTGAGCAAGAGAAACAAGTCAGTTGAACGTTTGTCTGTGTTGTACAATCCAAAAAGAAGACTTACATTATTTGTTCAGCCTTTCGTCGACGAATTTAACGCGGCTAAGGTAGAATATGCGAAGAAGAGGGATGAATATTACAAGAACACCAGCCCTACCATTATCAAAGAGCTCAACAAGTAAGTTACAGAAAATGAGGCTTGTCCTAACAGAATACTAACCATTTGCAAAGGCGTCGTAGGAGGATGGGAAAGAGGGCGATTCACGTGAAGAGGCCCGACCACCCAATAACCTCCTTCTTTGCGTAAGTAGCAGAGAATACCAATGGTGTTTCACTCTTTCTAGCAGCAACTGACACCATCTACTCTCCAGCTTCGGTATTGAAGAACGTAACAAAGGTCTTGCTCCGACGGGATTGAAGGCCAGCGAGGTCATGAAAGAATTCGGCAAGAGATGGAGAGCCTTGTCGGATGCAGAAAAACTGGTTGGTACTCTTCTGACATGATACAGCTGATTTTGCTAATCACCCTCTTCCACTTCCTACCTCTAGCACTATAAGGAAAGGGGATTGACTATGACCGCAGAGAGGAAAGCAGCGAGGGAATCAGCCACTGCTTAAATTATCCTTCCACCTTTTCGCTTCTCCTGGACTCCGTTAATTCGATTTGCTCCGTCCTTCCTTTAGTGAAACCTTGGATGACCCTTAAGCGGGCTAAAATTTCATCTCGTCATGCCTTAAACTCGCTGGTAATTTAAACTTTTGATAAGCCAGCCTCTCTCGATATGTACTTGACGAATTAATCATTTGTTTTCGTGACGATAACACCAAACTCAAGGCATACAAAACTGCAAACAGTGAGCAAACATAAGAAAAGAGGATTCTGTCCTCTTTCAACATGTACTCAACGAATTAATCAATTTGTTTTCATGACAATAAGAAAAAAATACCAAACTCAAGGAAGGCATACAAACACCGCAAGCAGTGAGCAGACATCAAACATCAAACATCAAACATAGGCCGAAAAAAAATAAAGAGAAAAGAAGATTCTGTTCTGTAATCACGAAAACGCCTGGTGAAAAGTGAGGTTACAGAAACGCACGAATCAAGACAATAAAATCACGACAATAATTAAAAAAAAGAGAGAAAAAGCACATTTCAGGGATAAAAACTTGGGTATGCAATTACGTGAAACGAATGGAGCGGTATGGCAAGGCAAAGCAAAAGGCAAGCAAACGAAAGACGCGAAGAGGAACAACCTACAGATAAATAAAAGAAAAAAATGCAATGTCCTATCAATCTACAAACGATGACCCGGTACAGCCCAGAAAAGAAGAGTAAGACCCGCGACGCAAGCAGTGACAAGCAGCGTAACCCAGATCGCACGCCCAAGGAGCAACTTCTTGACATAAGGCTCTCGGATAGTAAGCGTACGGAATGGCGTTGTCTCCGACTGGCCCAGGAAAACTAGGACAGGGTCGAGTTCGTATTGATGGCTTATTAAGAAGAGTATGGCGAGGGTGAAGGGGATGAAAAGCTAGAGTGGAAAAGGTCAGATTTTTGTGACCAGAATAGATTGATTGATTGAGTAGACGTACGAAGAAACGTTTGGATTTAGGTTTGACATCAAGGAAAATAAGAGAAAACCCGACGGCCAGACCAATCCAAAGGATAATAAGCCCAAGAACAAGTCGCACAAGGGCGCTAACTGGTGTCAAGTTGCCAAAGGCTTTGGCGCGCAAAAATCGTGGATAAGCATCTTGCTCCATTGCACGGAAGCAGTACTCTTTCTGCGCATGGAACATGTCGGGTATCTGCGCCATGGCATTGAGCTCGTCATGGGTTTTCGGCTCACGAGTAGATGATAGCATAAAGGAGTGAATCCTCAAGGCGGGAGGGAGGTATATTTCGTGGTTCTGAGAGGGATCGGCGGCCATTGTAGCGTGTGTCGGGGGCGATAAATATCTGAAGTAGATCCGCTCTGCGGATGCGATGAGGTCCATACGAGAAACGGCAGCCGTACGAGGGATGATTGTCGGGGCCCGGCTGGCGCGCCTGTGCAATGCTGATATCCTGCCAGAGAGCGAAAATGGCGTGGAAGAACGAGGAGGGTCTGGTTGATCATTAGGCGAAGTAGCTTGAAATCGCTCTTTCTCCTGCATTCCCGGAGTCACAGACCGAGGACTCGTGCTCCGCTCACCAGCTCTCTCCTTCTCGTCGTGTTGGTCGAATCGTTCACGCTCGGCCAACATTTCGCCGGTGCTGCCGGTGCTGCGCTTGGTGCCCATGTCGCCACCACGCGTGTTGCCACCCATACCGACGACTGTACCATAGATGGAGCCGCGACGACGCGCATAATCCCAGTACTGCGGCCAGTCCTCCTTAATTGTTCGCCCTGACTTGCGGACATCCTTGAAGTACGCGCGACAGAGATTCTCGTGTTGTTGTACGTCGAGCCAGAAATCTAGTATATCCTCGGAGCCCTCGCGCTGCAAGAATAAACTAGAAACGAAGAACGACGGTCAGCAAAAGCTCCTATATGCTCGAGAATACCACCGTGCCCAGGCACAAGAGTCGGCTGGGGGCACGGGGAACGCAAATATACTGACTAAAACATGAAGAGGTCGACTGGTGGTCTCGTCTTTCTTGCGAGGACCTCTGCAAAGGACGGGAGGCGATTGCGTCTCCCATCGTCCTGCGCGTCATTATTGTACACGTTGTTTCCGCTGTCCATCGGGCTCAGAGCGGTAACGGCAGGTGAGGGGAGGAAGCTGGGAAGAGATTGGGCGTGGGGGCGAGCGAGCGAGACAGTCCGACTCGCAAGAGTCACGGCAATGCGTTCAGTCTGGTCTCAAATGGCATCTCATTCTCACGCTTTCTTGGTTACACAACCATCAGCTAAAGCTTTCATTATTCCATCTTGCCCTCGTCGTCCCAAATGTCGTCGCTGACAAAGGCCCTGTCTCCGACAATCAGAGAAATCCGTCTCCTCTGCTCCCAGTCAGGCCCCGCATCTGCTGGTATACGGTACGTGAGCCGCCATCTCATTACCCGCCATCACGCATGCATTCGCTGACACCCGCCATCCAATGTCGGTCGGCAGTCAGTTTATTCAAACCGCGTACCCGACGTTGAAACAGCACAATCCGCATCTGCCAGTCCTAATCCGAGAGGCAAGTGGCACACCCGCAAGAGCTTTCGCCCGCTTTGGTACGCGTCTTCTCACTCTCGTTATAATGTTTATTATCGTCCCTTTCCTGACTGACTGACTGACTGACTGCTGCTGCTGCACTCTAGAATATGGCGTAGAGAAACATGTAGAACTAGACAACCTCTCTGCCAAAGATGTCGAACAGAAAATATCCCAGCTCCTCTCATCGTCGTAGACCGGCACAATCTCAGTGGGCCTGGTCCTACCCCGGTGCCTGAGAAATGGAGTACTAACTGCACGCATGTTTCGCTTTGCTTTAGCAACAATCGTTATTTCATTAACCCTATAATTGAGACCAGTTGGTGCCGAGGCGGGAGCTGTCGGAGCAGGTCGCGGCATCGAGCACCTTCTAGGCCTGCACTACACTCAACATGAAGAACCCCTTGATACCGTCACCATCCGGTAATTTGTGAACTGTGAATGCCGTTCGGGTTTCTTTGCCTCAACTTATCATGACCGGGCCCCAAATTCTAATCTAAGCTTGTGATTTCCGTCTTGTTCATCGCCTGTGACTGACGTTTAAGCTACGTTCTTATCTCAGGTGAAATGAAAGTTTCTTACGGATTCATTGGTGTTTTTTTGCAGATTCATTTGTCTCTATGACGAAGCATAGATTTCAATATCATTTTTAATAAAAGTGTTCACTGTCTATAGCGCCTAAATTTTGCTTACTATCTGCTTCATTTGGATCATTGCGATACTCATTTAACAGTGATACCAGCTCTGCAAATCAGTTGTGTGATGCTCGTCTTCGATATATGAAGGTTGTTGACGTATCGGCAGGAGTTATAGCGAGTATCAGAAAGGCTACGGCAATCACTTGCACGACTATTAACCAACATTACCGCATTGTATAAACAAATCATTGACCGGACTGATATTTTCCATGATACTCCGTAGGTCAAACTGCCTACCATTACTGGCAAACAGACGAGTCATACATAGTGATCTGCACGTGTTACATCTACAACTTCTTTCACTCGATTACTGTATTCATGTTCTCCCTTATCTTCCGCCCTCGTCCTCCCCCATTTTCGTTGTTGCGGAAGATTCAGCCACATTCGTTAAGAAAGTCACTTAGAAAGATGTCTTCTGAATCTGCACGGAGAGATGTCCTGCTCGTCGGATTCGGCGCGATGGGTGTGATATGTAATTATTCTCCTGATCGAAGCTTGTGAAACCAATATTAATAAGTTTATGATTATCCATATGCATCCAAGATGCATACGTCTTACAGAAAAGCGGTATGGCTCGCGTAACTGCGATCGCTAGGAGTAATTACGAAGCTGTCCAACGTTCGTGATTGCTATTTACAAAGACTCGCGCAATTCGTCTAATTCGCATTTCTATTTTTGTTATTCTTTATACAGGTGATGGTATACACATTATGAGCGGCATGCACGGTGACATCCCAGGCTGGAAACCATACAGGCGTAAGCTCTCCCTACCCCACTTTCAAAATAAACAAAACAAAACACACTCACCCCCTTCTTATATAATAAAGTATGCCCATCGTTCACCGAAGCCCTCGACCGACCCTACTCCTACGTCCTAATAGCAACCAAAGTCCTCCCAGAACTAACCCCAACAAGCTCTATCATCTCACCACTCCTCTCTCCTTCATACACACAAGCATACCCTCAACAACCAGCTTACGTCCTCTTGCAAAATGGTTTGGAGATCGAGAAGGAGTTGTACGATGCTGTTACCAAAGTATCTGAGACGGAACCGAGGATACTTAGTTGTACGTTAAATATTGGAGCGAATCTTTTGCCTGATAATGCTATTTGGCATAGCGCGTTTGTAAGGACCCAGTCCCTGTTCTGGTCCATTATCAGAAAAAAAGTACGAATTTTGACAAACGATTATTTTGGTAGGATAGGCTTTGTATGGGATTATACAAACCCGGAAACTACACCGACGAATCCCAAACCCAAGAAGAGATAGACCTCCTAAACGATATCGGAGGTATGTTCAGTGCAGGCGGGACAGAAGTCACTCTAGTCCCAGAGATCCAACGACATCGCTTCCGCAAGAACTTCTGGTACGTCAACCATCCAACTCCCCTTTATATCCCATTCTCTGTGATCTTCTGCCTTCTATACCTGACACACAAGAAATAGGAACATAGCCTTCTCAACAATCTCCACCCTAAGCCGCCACTCCCTGCGCGCAATCTTCCAAGAACCCACCGTCGAACCCGTAGTCCTACCCATCATCCGCGCCATCATGCTCGAAAAACTCGCAGTAGGCCGAGCAATGGGTTTCGACGAAGTCGCACTCCCATCTTCCATCGTCGAAAGCACAATCGAATCTACTGGAAACATCCATAGACGTGCCGATTCAAAACATAAACCTAGTATGCTTCTGGATTGTGAGAATGGGAAACCTATGGAGATCGAGGTGATTGTTGGGGAGGTCGTAAGGAAGGCGAGGGAGTTGAGTGTACCTACGCCAGTAAGTATTCCAATCCACAGTCTTATTGCCTTCTGTATATGATGCTAATTTGTGGTAGCACCTCGATACGATTTACGCTTGCCTGTTTATTACTCAGAAACAGATTCTAAAGCAGCTAGATAATAGTAAAACGCACTTGTAAATGTAAAAGGTTTTCTTGGCCTGTATAAACACAATATAGCTGGTTTGGGATAAATAGAATTATAGATGGTGTAGGGTAGAACTCTACAGAAGCATAGACTGAATTGTATAGTAGTAAATAATTAAAGATCAAAATCAAGGACGTATTTGCAACGGTAAAATCCAGTAAACGGCGTACCTATTAGCCCGACATCATTTACTTGCATTTATGCATCAGAATACATATCTACAAAGTTAAAAATGATTTAACCAGTTTGTAAACCTATCTCATTCCAAGAAAGCTTGACCATTTAAGCTAAAGCTCGTTAGGAGTTCTCCTAACAATCAAACATCCCTTGCTATGTAGTCTTTTCTTTTATCACCAGCCCTTGCTCAACATATGCTCCGTGTAACAGAAGAGCCGAGCATTATTTAATATTTAGAAAACGTCTAGTACAGAATTGTTATTGCATAATTTCGACGGACGGACAAGACAAGCATTTAATTTGATGAGCAATGATGGTATCTTCCTCCTGAATATATAAATGTGCACAACCCCACTTCCTATGTATAAGCGGGTGGAGGAGCATCATCCACTCCCCGCTGCTCATTGCTATCCGAAGGCAGTGAGTCTGAATTTTGAGATACACCACCGCCACCACCTAGTGGTGATCTTCCTACCAACCCGCGCAGTCGCGTTATTGCAGAATTCGTCGTAGGGGGCGTTCCCTGGCTTTGGGAAAGTGGAGTTGCTGAGTATGACGAGTCCAAGCGTTGTTTCGTGGAAGTCTGTGAATAGGACGAAGAGGTGGGCGGATTTGGTGTTGGTGTTAGGTGAGCCATGAACGGCGTCGCTTGATAAAAGGAAGTTAGCAACATGGCACAGGCGAAGACAGACGGATTGAAAATACCTGAGTTCGACTCCCGTTGAGCAGCAACACTTGCCCTTCGTCTCCTCAACCAGAAGAAAGCAAGACCAAACAGTACGACACAGCCTACAACTCCGCCAACAACACCACCCACAATAGCACCAACATTCGTATGCGACTGCTTCGAAAAAACAACAGTAGACGAAGGTACCGGAGGTTGCGACGTGTTGCCTGGTACGAAGCTGTCCTTCCCATCATCAGTAATTAATATCCACTTCACACACCATCGGGGAAGAAGAAGAAGCATCAGGAAAGAATTGAGAAAACACGCACTTTATCTGATAATTCTCCAAAAATGAGCCAACACCATTCGAACCCGGTCCTTCCCACGTAACATTCAACAAATGACTTTCATCTCCATCTAACCCGTCCTTCTCAAACAACACTGCTACCGCAGGAGTATCATTCTGGTTCATCCCACTACTCAAGTCCATCGTGATAGAATCATTGTCGAGGGCGATTGATATAATCGCCCCGTTATAGAGCTTTCGCGAGAACCAGGAAACGTTGGTACCTGCGAAGTTAAACGAAAAGCTGCCGGGTACAGAGGTGAAGGTATGACCGCCGTTCTCTTGGACTGTCCATCCGGTACCGACGTATTGGATTCGTGAGTCAGTGGCGGGAACGATCAGTTCTTGTGGCTGCGAGCGTATGGGGGTCAGTAGGAGCGAGAAGACCGAGAGACAGATTATTCGGTGGAGCAAAGCATGCATTGTCGTGCACATAGAACCAGGAGGACGACAAGATGAAAGATCAGCGATCTGCGAAAACTTCGGAAAAGTCAAAGCTCGACATCAGAGATTGCTCCGTTTCTGGCTCTTGCCTAGACTTTCTTGGCTTCCACATGCAAATGTTTGAATACAGGCATTGGTCGTTCCTTTAAACAGGGACGTTCCTTTGAACACCCCCCTCTAATTCATGCATAACTCAACCAATAAACTCAAAAAAATAGAGAAATTTAGATACATACATGTACTATATATATATGAATTCTGAAGGAAATCGATTCAGTAGAAAAGTGTATAGAAATTCAATACTGCTGAAATTGAATGAATTCCAAATATGAGACTACTAACAAATTTTTTACTACTACTTATGCTACAGTGTTCAACATAAAAATTATATTATTGTATTCCTCTACTTCAGAGCTACAATATGTATGTTTTATCATATTGAATGGACCAGTCCTTAAATTAATATTGTGTAATTTGTTAAAAATGCTCAAAAAGTGTGACAAGAGAGTAAAATGATTGGCATTGATCTACATTGATCTGCACTGATCTACACTGACCTACAGTCCTAATGACACATTGGTTGAGGGTATTAGTCTGTAACATTTGCTAAATAAATAATTTTTTCTCTCTTTTTGTTCCTCATCTCTTAACAGTCCTATTCTATGGTCAGCACAGCTTGTTCTGGCCTCCCTTCTTAATGCTAGGCTCTAGAATGCTCTATACAAGAAGGAGAAAGGAAAAACAATAGAGAACTCATAGATATTTGATGATGGAATGCTAAAGATTATGACCTCAGATGAGACCAGGGAAAAGCTCAGGCAGAAGAAGGAATACAGGGAAAGGGAAGAGAAGGAGGTCCAGGCAAGAAAGGAGGAGGCTAAAAGGAAGAAGGAAGTTAATGATATGATTGAAAGTGAATGGAAACAAATCAAGACTCACTATGACAAAGAGCTTACCAAATGGCAGGCTAAATGCTCTACTTAGAGGGAGGAAGGGCTCCCAAGGGCTTATTGGAGCCCTAGACCTTCTAGACCAACAAAAAAACAAGTCCAGGACAACATAATATGAGAGAGGGGCCTTGACAAAGAAGAAGCAGTGTCTGGATGTGGTGAATGTGACCTAGACCTGTGAAGACACAACAAATAATGCAGGAATTTCGCCTGAAGGTGTAGATATGACTATAGAACAATTGCCTGTATAAATGAGAGCAAGAGGAGTGAGCCAAGAGTGAATGTAGGAGTGCAAGTTGAGAAGATAGGGGTGGACAGGTTGAATGTGTGCCAGTGTGATGGAGTGTCACAGGGGTGTTCAAAGGAACGACTTTCGTGACAAAATCTCACTTTTTTCTTATCTTCATATTAATTTTTTTACAGCACTTAATAGCTTGGAAAAATTCAGGCATATAGTATTATACATATAATCATTAGATACATAAATTTTTAAGTAAATTTTTGATGTGGAAAGAAATGCAGGGGAAAACAAAATTGGTGTTTAAAGGAACGTCCAATGCCTGTATATCAAAGATTTGGGCGGCGGATCTTCTCACACGGTAATAATAAGTTTGTCATGGCCAGCAGGTTGAGTCCTTACGGGTTGCGGGACAACCGCAGAGCGCTGCACAAGATTCCAATACTCTAAATTAGGCACAGCTCTTGATCGACGCTCTGCAAATGGGGCGTGGGACTCGGGGATCTGCACTCTGGTTATCTTTACAAATCATCATTTTGGCAGTGTGGCACTGGCACTCTCACAGACAGACAGACTCTTTCTGGTCCTGCATTGACACCGTATAGATCTCAACTAAATAAGAATGTCCGAAATCAAAATTCAAGTCGGAGACACGATTCCAGAAGGCACCTTCCAATATGTTCCGTACACCCAGGAGTTAGAGGATGGGGTGAGCAACATACATGCCATCGTGGATATGCGATCGTCGAACTAAGCATGTAATGGCTGAACCTATCCGTATATGCGTGCGGTTGATTAGCTAGTTTGCGGTATTCGTACGTTAACTACTTCGTCTTTCGTCGTTTACTGTGATTATTGCGATGCTCACATGATTGACTTATGCAGCTGTCCAGTTGAAGACGGACGAATGGAAGGGAAAGAAGGTCGTCTTGATTTCTGTCCCTGGAGCCTTTACGGTAAGCTTTGCATTATCTAATTCGTGCATCTATCCTGTTGACGAGTATCTTTCTTCGCTATGTTTCTATTTTTTTTTTGTTCGCGGTGCAACAACGATTAGCCGACTTGCCATGTAAACCATCTCCCGGGCTTCGTGAAGTATTACGACGAGATGAAATCCAAGGGAGTGGACGTCATCGCTGTTGTCGCTGCAAATGACCCTTTCGTTATGAGTGGGTGGGGACGTGTTGAAGGCGTAAAGGATAAGGTGAGACTCATGTACGCTCCTTGATCTATCCTACTTACACTGATGGTGTTGCTGGTTAGATACTTTGCTTGTCAGATGCAGGTACGCATACATGTAATGTACCCTTCAAAGAACGCATTTTGAGAGATGCTGGTATAGATGCCAAGTGGTCCGGATCGATTGGCCTCTCTGCTGACATGTCGGCACGCGGATTCGGTATTCGTACCGCTCGTTACGCGATGATAATCAACGACTTGAAGGTTGAATATCTCGGTGTAAGTATTAGCATGTGTTATAGATTCCTAATCGTAGATTTGATGATTATGACAAACAGGTTGAACCGGCTCCTGGCGTTACCGTCTCCGGAGCAGATGCAGTCCTTGCAAAACTGTGAAGAAATACAAGTGCATGTATTAGATCTTGTTGTAGAATTAGATTGGTCCGGCTCATGTACAACCGACACTATCTTGGGAATCACAAGGAAAAAAGAGACTGCTACACACGAAGTCCGATTAGTTAAGTAGACTACACAAAAACTGATACATTATCCCATGTGCATACAAGAAGAAAGAACCCGGTCGGTGATTACATTATTGTACATCCATCTGGCAGCTTAGGTGTACCATCCGGTCCAAAATCAAGCCCAGCTGGTAAAGAGCCCATAATCTCGGACGGCGGAGATCCAAAGGATTGCATCTGATTATGAGCGACGGTCAGTTAAGGTGCGTTCGAAAAGACTCAAGAGAGCTAGAATCTATAAATGAGAGACCAGACCTACCTCATTCATCAATGAAACGATTTGCGCACCCTTCTCCTGATCATCCTCTTTATATGACGGATCTTCAAATATTTGCATGATTGCGGATACTCGAGTCATCTGATTCCGGAAACGCTCTTTGTCTTCTGTAGATAGCTTTTCGTCGTTTTCTGAAAGGTATCCAGGGAACTACATAGTCGTCGAACACGCAGGTGTTTGTCAACACGCGACAACACGTATATAATAAAAATAGATGAAATACCTTGTCATGAAGTTCTTTTAAGGGCTCGTATAAGACCTCTTTGCTCATAAGCTGCTGCATCATCGTTTCTAGCATATCCTGCAGGTCACCATTGTCTTCACCTGATTCGTCGAGGCCGGAGCCTAGTTGATTTAAGATGGCTTCCAGCGGATCGTCGGAAGGAGCAGATGAGGTCGATGCATCAGTCTAGCAGTATTCAATATCATTAGCAGTTGAGATTTCAGCAGAGTATAGCCATGAGAGCGTACATGTAAAGTAGAATCGCTATCCTTAAGTTTCTCCATAGCCTGCAAAATACTCGCTTGGAAGTCATCAACAGCCTTCTTGCTCGAACTACTACCACCAGCATTCTCGTTCTCGGTGCTAGGCTTGTCCCTCTCGTTCCGACCAAGTAACTCGTTGTCGACCATTCCATCCATGCCTTCTATCAACATCTTCTCCCAAGCCTCTTTGCGTTTTCTGTCTTCCTCTGAGATTTGACCGGTTTGACCTTCGGCGAGCTCACGCATGAGTGCTTCCATACCATCTGCGAGGTCCTTCGCGAGTTCATCGGGAAGCTGTCCAGACGGTATACCGGTAGTATCTGCCGTTGAACCAAGTGCAGGTTGTGCATTGTCTGCTCGTGATGAAGAAGGAACAGACGTGGGCTGAGGAAGGACAGTCGAGGTCGATGTAGGTGGCTGAGACGGCGAAATTGTATTCTTTGCGTCGAATTGGTCAACGATATCTGCTGGACATAAATACACGGAATATATTTGCGGCTTAGCAGTGCGCACCATCTAGATCGTCGACGTCTTCCTCTTGCATTGCTGGTTTACGTGACATGGAAACGGAACAGTCGAAGTGAAGGCACAGACGCGGAGATATTTAAAATTAAATAATTTATAGTTTATTCCAACGCGTTTGTGTTTGTTTACATCACGCGTCTGCGCACAGGTTGACCTCAAAACAATACTACTTGTCCTTGTCCTCGTACATCGACATGCTCAACTCCTCGACGCGTCAGGCGCAGTCTGCACCAATCACTGCAATATCCTCTACTCTTTCAACGCGTTCCAGTCCATCCGTACCTCCGGCGTCGCAGGTATTCGAACCTCTCGTCAAGTCAATCCTTGCTCGCAGATTCGCGTACTATGTTCTCTCAACTTCTGCAGCAGCAGCCTGGCTACTCGCCACCATTTGGTCCACCTGGCAGTATGGCGGATATAACTCCTTGGGTGTACTTGGTTGTGTCGTGAACTTGCTTTCACCCCTTACCCTGTTCTGTGCTGTTCTCTGGTGGACGTTCGCGTCGGTCCCGATAGCTGTCTTGCGCAAAATCCATCTCAGAGGTACGTATCCTGACCTTTGGGACTTTAGCACTATCTCACTTTCTTCGCTGCAAGCAACGCGCACCTCTGCATTGTCTCCTCGCCAGACCCTCACTCAGCATAGCAAAGAGCGTCAATATCAGCACGCATTGCTAGTCACTTTCATTTCCTCTGCATTCCTCACAGTATGCCACGCATTCGTAGCTCAGACAGTTGAAAGAAGTGGGCGAAGTGATCCTGGACTCGGAGTTTGGGCTGGATCGAAGTAAGTGTCGCTTTCCGTAGTTCAACATGGACCGTATTCATGATATTACTAGAAAACATCCATATCACATTAATGGCCGCCTTTGTTTCCTATTTCTATCCCAGTTTTCTTGCGTTGTGCTCTACTGTCTTCGCGATGTACTCAAAAGCCGATTTGATATTCACTGGACAGGCCAATCGGATGTCGGTTTTCTTTCTTTATCTTGCGTTTCTTGTGGCTAATGTGCAAGTCTCCAAACAGTTCACGATGCACGCGTTTGCTTCGATTCTTTCCTCTTTGGTCTCTACCTTAATGCTCTCGACGACTTCCACCGTTGCTTCGTTGGCAGGGTTCGGCGTCTTGCGCTCTTTTGTGCTGCCCGTCGTGTATCGTTTACCCATCCTCCATGGTTTTCTTCGGTTCGTTATAAGTTTTTCTAACTCACAGAGTATGGAACGAAACTGACGCTCCGACATTTCTTACCTCATCTACAGTCCATTTGTTGCACATTTCCTCCGCCCAACATACACTATGACATTCTTCTGGACTGACTTCGACCTGATAATCCGTGCCTTTTTCCTTGCTTTGTCAAGTCAGGTACTTTGGGACGTCCCATCAACGATGTTTGACGTGGTCTTCTCGCTTGTAAGAATTATCTTAGGTCTCATACGATTAGAAAAACTTACAGTTTTTATCAGCCGATTTCAACGCTTGATTCGCGCAAAGACGCCGGACTCGTCCTAGTCTCTGGGACTGGTTCTTCAGATGCATACTTTCAGGTTTGCTCTATCATCATCCTGAAGTTCCGCCTTGCTTACTGACTATATCGCCCTGCATGAAACATAGTTACATGCATACCACGGACTTTACCAGCTTTCATCCGACACGGACCAGTCAGCTGCTGGACGTTCCGTAATCTACAGCGACGTAAAACACAGCCCGAACTTATGGTCTACGTTAGTTCGGCGTAGCCTCGTATTACTAGGCTCTGACTATCAACTCTTTCTTCGTCGGGGCAACCCCGCGCCTCCTCCACAAGGTTATTTATCTGAGAGTTGCTCGTTGTGAGTAAAACCTGACGTTATATTTCTAGTCGTGGTACCTCCTGCAGTAAAACCTACAACTGCGCAGAAACCAGTAACTCCTATCATCCGCGCCCAGGTGTATAAGAAAGCGCCTGGAACTCCGATCGATCGAATTATCGAGGCTCTCTCCTCTGACGACGCAACTTCCGGACCTTCAACCAATGCACCATCAAGTGGTCCTGCGGAAATCCATGATTTCACAACAAAGTTACGATCTTTGACGCACCCAATCGATGCCGCTCTTACAGATGTTTCGAAATCCATAACGAATATCGTACCCTCAATGCGGAGCTCAATCCATCCGTCTCACTTACATATAAAAGAAGTTAGCACCTGGTGGACTCGAGAACGGAGGAACAAAGCTGCACAAAAGGCTTTACCCAACAAAGAGTTGGACGCGGTGATCGTCAACAGTACGTCATTCAGTAATTATTCAATCAATGTTTTGCGAAACTGATTTTTTTTTGACGGCTTGCTGATGGACGTTTAGCCCTGAGTCGGTTAGTAGCCCACTCGCTTAAGGAGGACACACTCGGGAGTGTCCAACGAGACATACCTCGAATTCTCGAAGCTATGGTGTTATTCCATACTGCGATAGAGAACTACCGAGTAGAGTTGTCGAGCGCGGTAAGTGCTCTAGAAACGAGCAATGCGGTGAGTTGTCCGCTTCACTTGGGTTTTCACTTTGTTCCATGGTTTCTGACGAATACACGGTTAGCTTCGTGAAACCGAGTTAACAATCCTGAAAGAAGAGACCGATCTCGCAACCGAGTGGGTTGAAGACTTGTCATCCGGTGCGTAATTGGCAGATACTTCCCACTTTTTCTGAATAGCACTCATGGATATATGTATGGTTTACAGAACTGCGAACTGGCATATCTCTAATACTCAAAACGTTTGGAGACCGACTTGCGAAGTTCAGGTTTCCACCGACTATTGCTACCAGGTTACAGAGCTTTGCGGATTATAGTACTTAGACTTGTATATAATTTTTATTGGCACTGGTTCAATGGTTGACGATTGACGAATATATGAATAAAACCTACAAGACCTGAGCACCAGTAATAACCAGGCCACGGGCAACCCGCTCCTGGTTGTACTATAAAGTGATATTGGTACCTCCAAGAACAATGGTATCTATATAATGAGAGCTACTATATGTACACTTAAACATCCAGTACTTTACGAGAAACTTGCAACTGTCCGGGGAACGGCTGCTGAACCATTAATGTCTCCATCCCACTTCATGCCCATTCTCCATCATCGGTTCCACGAACCCTCGAAATACCCACCGGCACTGGTCCTCTTCCTCCTCGGCATCCTCTCTCGACGAACCTGAACTATCCGATCTTGTCACATTCTCACCAGATGTGGATCGATCCTGGGACCACCGCATCCCATACCCTTCCTCAACACGAACTTCATACACAAGCACTTCATGCGGTAACCAATGTAAGTTCCTCCACGTCGCGGATTGCATGATCTTATCGAAAAGCTGGAGAGCGCGGTCGTTGAGTGCGGAGATCGGGCCTTTCGGGTTTCCCCACCAACTTGAACTACTCGAGTCTGACTCTAAGCCGGATTGAGAGGAATCGGTGTTAGTGTTACACCCGGAACGATGTGCGTGTTTCGTCCAAGCCCTCGCACCAGCTGACAGACCCACACTATTCTGTGCTTCGAACGACGAGAGGAGGTCTTCTTCGGAGGGTGGTTGTTCGCCGATTGCAGAGCCTGTTGTGACTGCAAGGCCCAGAACAATATGTTTAGCCAATGGAGATGGCATGTTAAAGTCAAGTTCGACGTTGGAATGTTCTTGGAGGTGCTGGTTTAGACGAGCACGTTCTTCCGAGGCGGAGGGTAGCTCAGCCATGTCGTGACACACAGGTGTCGGTATCACTGTCCTGGTCGTCATACTGTATACTGATCCGATGCAAGACCTTGAAAAGCGTGTCGTCAGCAGGCTGCTATAGGTGGTGATTCCAGGCCAAGATTGTAGAGACAGTTCTTCGTGTGTACAGGAAATGACATGACGGCTTCAAGCACAAGATAAATGCAAATTTTGACTCACGCACAACATGCAGTGGTCACGGTATCCGCCGAAATAACTTCTTCAAGTTCTTGCTCGCAAGGGCTTCTCGGGTGAATAAAGTAATTCAAATACAAATGCACGATCTATGTAATCTCTACAAAGTGTCGTTATACATACATCACAACATCTTTTATATGTAAACCGACTTTTCCACTTCCTCTCTCTCTTTCTCACTTTTACTTTCACCCTCACCTTCACCCTCACCTTTCACTTTCACTTTCACCCTCACCCTCATACATTCAAAACCCCCGTCCGACTCGCAACCAAATCAACCACACAAGTCCCCTGCACAGGTACATACTGTTTCGTAATCACCTTGATCGCTTCCTGTGCTACGAGGCCACCAAGGAAGGCTGCTGTGTTAGGTAAGTCTGCTGTTGGTGTGCGTGCACTACAAAAACACATTAGCACAAGCAAAGTTGTATGTCGGTAAGGATGAAGAACGTACATTTCGCCCACGGCAGAGGCGACTTCCTTAGGCAACACAGTTCCAGCTGGGAGCATAGACTGGATATACACTGTCAGCTGTTCCGCCGTCAATTCTCCACTGTTGTGTGGATTCTTGGACAGTAAATGTGACGCAGCGGATAAAGCAAGGTGAGTAGCTGCAGGTAAAGCCGTTTCTTCCGAAGACAACAAGTTCGCTATAAAAATCACATTCGATTTAGAACACGGATTCGTATCAGATATGAACAAGAAGATACGGGAGAGAGGGAAACTTACCAAGAAGCTGCGGATTCTCGTCAACCGTCCCCCACCTATGTCCTCTCACAATCTTCAACCCATGTGCATTCCTTACAAACTCATCAACCATAGCCTCATCCACCTCCACCCCTCCTCGCTCTCTTAATATCTCCCTGAACCGTGCCTTCTCTTCCTCCGCCTGCCGTTTATACAAAGTCTGCAAATGTACATAACTCTTCGTATCGGATTTCATATCCGGTAATGCAGACGAAAGCGGAAGCGTATAAGGCGGTTGCTCGGTGAACGTCTTCAACGCAGCTAGCAAGTGAAAGAACGGTGGAGACGTAGGGCTGAGCGTTTTAAGTAATGGATCTTCAAACAACTGCGCAATGTCGTATGGAACTTTTGTTTCTGTATAAGCTCGGTAGGTTTGTGTAGCTGCTTCGTCAAAGTTCTCTTCATCGGGCTTTCTTTTCATGGCGAGGACGGATTTTTTGAATGCTGCGCGGTCTGCGGAGGTCTTCGGTACTTCACCACCGTGCTATAGCACGACAGTCAGACTACCAGAATGTGATCGGCGAATGTAAACCCGTTACTTACTGATACTTTCCAATCATCCAACGCTCGAACAAGGATAACAGCATAAGGGATATGCGCATGTTCAGTCCCATCCATCGTCTCCAGCTCCAACGATCTCGCATATTCAAGCAACGCAGGGAACGGTTTATCAAGTCTCAAAGACGGAGCTCCCTCCGGGTGAGAATCAACAATCGTATGCTCGTGAATTTGAATATGGAAGTCGGCAAGGAAGCCAGCGGAACGGACTGTTATAAGTGGCGGTAACGTTGTTGGGTCTGACCAGAGGAGTTTTGTAAGAGGAAGGAGGAGTGATTCGGATAGGTTGTGTGCGATGATGAGGTTGAATGAGGATAGATATGAGACGTCTGTTAGCCTGCTCGCAAGGTGCTGCATTTATATATGCATACAAAAGAATTAGATGAAGCAAGAAAATCAGACAGGAGCTCACAACGTACACTCGTGTCCGCCTCTCCCTCGACGGAATCATTGAGCTCTCTGAGTAGACGAACAGCCTCCTTCGCACGGCTCTTGCCAATGCTTTCCGGACCCTCGAGGAAGAAATTGTTGCCTGCGTCTTCCTGTGAGACAGATCCTGGATCGAGAAACGTGAAGTGGCCGATTCCAGGGAGGACAAGGTTCTTGAGAATGGATGTAGATGTGGCGGAGGCAGAGATGACGAGGATACGAGCAGATTCGAGTGCAGTTTGTCCGGATGCAGCCCATAGTCTATGGTGTCCAAGTCAATTCACGCCGAGAGGAGACATTGCAGATGCAGAAAGCATACCGGAGTTGACGGTCATAACGTCGAGTCTTTGCGTCAGGTTGACCAGACATCCTTCACATCGTTAATTTGAGGATGTATATATGCACATGAAAGCGTACAACTCACTGAGGAGATTCAAGCGCTGTCGTCGCTGTTTCGATGTCCTGAGAGTCGTCGGTCATCGTGCAATCCGTGATGGTGGGTCGCCGCAAACGGACGTGGCGGGCTTACTACTGACACACACGAGACGTCACGTTGAGTCACCACCATCGTCCTCGACGCGTTCACTTCCGCGTCCACCATCACCGAGTCTCGTCGTGCACCATGTCCAGCGACAACAAGCAACTCGGCGACCTCGCAACACAGCTCGTCACCGAATCGCGTCGTTCAACCGCAACAGACACGCTCTTCAAATACAATGACACGCTCGTTCGCACCCTCATCCGCGAGCAACGCGGTCTCGAAGCACTCATCACCAACGCCCTCGACTCCATGCCAGACAACCCAAACGCCAACCAAGTACCACCGTCGTTCATCATTCACCAGACAACTCTCATGCGCAACAAGCGATGTTTACTTGCTTACCACCAACACCGCATGAACTTCCTCAAGTCATTATACTGGTCCCTTGGCGGTGCTCTCCCTCCTATCCTATCAAACTCACAAATCCGAGCGAACCTAGCACCCCATGAAGTTGACTTTATACGCGAATACAACACGATGGTCGTCGATTTCCGAGCAGACTTTACGGACGAGCTCGATATTACGAGCAGCATACTACATCCACCAAAGGACATCCACGTCCTCGTACGGGTTGTGCGGGATTGCGGCGTGATAGAAACGGAACTGGGAGCAATCGACTTTCAAAAGGGTCAACGATTCATGGTCCGTCGAGCGGATGTCGAACACTTGCTCGTACAGGGTTACCTGGAGGAAATCACTAGCTAGCGTCTCTCCTTTTCATTATTCTCTGTTTCAGCTCGCCGAACCGCACGTATTCCTAACTGCAAGCCCTTTGTCGAGTACCCAAATTATGTCCAATATATGCATACTGCACGCAAAGTAAATATAAGTTACGTAATCCAAATATATTTCTTGAATATCTCAAGCCGCGACGCCGCGTCCGACGCGCATGCTCATTGCACACTGTGTGCAATGCTACGCTCATCACTGTCCCGCTGCCTCTCCACGACGGCAAGTCGTTCATACGCAGCGAATGCTCTGCTCCTCGCACACAGCGGTAATGCTTCCTCGTCAGCAGCAGCAGCCGGGTCGAGCACGCCACAACAAAGACCTCCTCCACCTACTCCACCACCGCGCAGGATGAACGGTAACGGCGACGAGGAGTACGTCTCTGACCAAGAATGGGAGTTGCGCACAGGTAAGGTACGTATCTTCAATAGACAACCTCCGGTTCACTCACGTATTCAATTCGAATAGTTTCAGAGGAAAGTCGTTAACAAACCGCTGATACTGACTCCAAAACGAAGGTCGAGCAATGGACATCCTCCAACAAACTCTCCCCAACTTCTTCAACACCGGGCTCGTCTCAACCAATTACCACCTGCCTTTACATATACATAGTATACTAGGCGGGAATATCGCTCTTCCGTCCTTGTCCTTATCGAAGGGTAAAGGTAAAGCAGCAGCAAACGAACAACACGATTCATCATCAGAGACTCATAATGAGGAGGAGGGAGGTATCTACGCTCGTACAATTCGTTTGGAATATACCCCTCCAGTTGCGCTTCCAGCTCCGTTCCCTCGGGTTCTCGGCGTAGAAGGTATGTCCGTTCGTTGCTCATGCGCATATACTCTCGCAGAGAAAGTTGGGCACTTAACAGTCTATCTCTGTGTTCCCATTAGGCTTACCGCTATACGTCGCATCCTCCATCTTCGTCCGCCACGCAATGCACGCAATCTATTCCGACCTCGCCGTCTCCATGCATAAAGTGCAAATTCGCTCGGGACCTCAACAACAGTCTTCCTCTCAGTCTGGTAGTTCACCTCCCAGCTCGTACTCAGAGTCAGAGTCAGAGTCAGAGTCAGAGTCAGAGTCACTCCCGACTCTCACTCCGGGGGAGGATGCACGGAATTCACAACCAAAACATCGACGCGAACGCGCAATAACAATCGGCCTACTCGTCTCAGGCGTCGGTCGACTAGGCCTAAGCAACGAGCGTGCAGAATGGGATGTGTGCGTATCATCCATCCTTCAACAACTGCGCCTTACATTGATCCTCTACCTCACACAGAACCTCCACATACACATTCTCCCCCCAAACAGGCCTAATCACCCTACACACCGTCAACGCCATCCACCCCGAACCAAGCGAAACCGTCTACGCCGCTTTCCAAAGTGCACTATCCACCCTCGGGTCCGGGTTTGTGGGTCCTGCTGCCGGAAGTCGGAAGGGTGCGATGAACGTTGGTGTGAACGTTAACGTTAACGTCGAGAGTGGGAGATCGGATCGTTGAACTGGAAATCGGAAATTGGACTGTCTTTCTTTTCTTCAGCCTCTGCTGGTATAATAAGTTTGATAAGTACATTATTTTATAAATGCACCCCAACTCAACGGACTTGCTCTTGCTGCTGTGTACTTCATAGTATGTTTGTCCCATCGTATCGTCCAATAATTCAATAATATTGGGTAATCTCTCCAACATGGAGTAGAATATACGTCATTCAAAAACCAAGGTATAACTAAGTATATGGCATACGAAACATTACGACGACCTATGCCACAACCTTAAATCAAAGAAGAAAAGGGTGCTTCAAGCATAAGTGAATAGTAATAAAGTATGAAAGCCAATGAAGCCAAGTCGATGGCGGGGGGTATGTATGGAATATGGAAATCCGTGCGTGGAAGTTTGGAAGTGTAAAGAAACCGTGCGTAGATACGTGGAGATAGCGATCAATCAATGAAGGGATGTGCGGGAGATGCCAGGGTATGGTATGGTATTGAATCGGAACTACCTCCCAATGGCAGAACTTGAGCTTAGAGCTCGTCGCAGAACGGCAAGTCATCGTCATCTTCGTCATCACCATCGTTACTCGAGGGAGAGGGAGAGGCAGCGGCGTTGTTAACAGGTGCCGGTGTCGACGACGGTGCAGGGGTCGAAGTGGGGTTCGCAGCTGTCGCTGGGATAGATGTCGCTGGGATGCCACTTGAGGGGACGGGTGGGACTAGGACGGAGTTCGCGACGCAGAGAACCTTCACGAAGGGAGAATCATCAATCAATCATGTTAACTTTTCTTCTTCATCATCATCGAGGAAAACTCACCTCGCCAACGTAAATATTCGAACACCCCTCATCAATATTCGGGTTATTCGTCCACAACGACGTCGAATTAATCCCATTTGCCCCAGTAATCGCATCGCACGTATCACCCTCCTTCACAACATAGACCGTCTGACAATCTTCACCCGTCGTTCCAAGACAGATAGAACTGCCTGGTTGGAGGTTACTACATGTGGAGTCGATGGTACCGGAGTTGACAGCGGCGAGTTGGTATGTGGAGGCGTTGTTGGCGGCGGAGATGCTGTCGCAGATGTCACCGGCTTGGACGGTGTATGAGCGTGCGCAGTCTGCTGCGAAGGCCGCTACGTACATACAGCGAAGAGGGAGAAAAAGGTTAGAGACACGCAAAAATATCGCTCTACGAAAAATGAACACTAACAACGAGCGAGCAGTGGGAAAGCTACAACGGCAGCAGTGATGAAAGTCTGTCCGAACATCGTTATAGTCGCGGTACTACTGAGCAGAATGGAAAATGAATGTGTGGGCTGTAAAAGAACGAACGACAGGAGTGTCGAGTTGAGGGAGAGAGCGCAAGGAAGTGAGTGGGAAGAGACAGAGGAAGAAGAAAAGGGACGCTGTTGGCAGGCAATTTATATACGTGGTAACGCTGTTCCGAGCTTGGCACAAGGATCATGAGAGCACACAACGGCTTCTCTCGGCTCATCAAATCCAATATAACAACATATGTCTATTTTTCTTCTGGAATAAGTTTTGCCGCTACTTAGACCTTGGCTGCACCTCAATACTCCTCACCAACCCCTCTCCAAGCCGTCGAATTTCAGCAAGCACGGTCGTCTGGTTCAGCACCACCGAAGCCGAAGCCTTCCGCTTTCGGGTGTCCGTGTCATCATCGGTCTTCTATACGCCGCAATCATCATCAGTAAATCATCATCAGTAACAAATGAGGAAAGAAGATGAGATGAGACGAGATGAAATGAAAATCGAAACAATCAGGAGGTGGATCGACAGCGAAGCTCACCTGCGGCGTCGACGAATAATCCGCCAACACGCGGAAAGGCCGCGGCACTCCCACCAGTCCTGGATCCCACACTCCTCCGATCACCTCACCCCCGTACGCATCGAAGAAAAATGCGAGTGTGCCTTGATACATGCGCTGCATCCGGCAATTCATTAACATTATTTGTCGGTCCCTGATTCAATATCCGTTTTTTTTATTTGGGGTATTACGACTCACCTTCAGGTCATGGAAGTACATCAACGCAGGGTCGTAGTCCACTCGTAGGGGCTCGTCGTCCTCACCACTGGCTGTCGGAATATTCGCGTACCTCTGCGACGTCGACTCACGAACATCCAAGGCTTGATGCGTACGGCACAACACGTCAGGTTTGAGGTGAATCAGAATATCATAATCACCAGTGGGATGCAAGAAAAGCGTCTACACCGAACTTTCTTAGTTGCAAACACATCGGGACCAAACCGAGTAGCTTACCTTCGGAACGAACCCCTCCCATTCATTCGCCAACACATAATCCACACTAGCCCCAGCTAGCATCTTAATTCTTCTCGCAACAAGCGCATCGGGTCCTTCACCAGTCCAGACCGCACCAGAAGGATCCTCGCTTGTCGATATTCTCCATACGCCGTTTCCAGATCCTGCCTTTATGTACGCGGCGCCGGATTCTTTTTGCTCTTCCTCGGCTTCTCCGTCTGTTTCATAAAGCGCTACGAACAACCCATCCTCCCAGGTCCATTCCTTTAAGAACGTCAATACACGGAAGAAGCCTAGTTCTTTCGTCCCAGGTACGTCCAATCGTTTATCCCCTCCTCCACCGTTCTTCGTGCTACCGACAAACACAAACGCACATAACAACTCAACAGCTTCACCATTTATGTGCCCTTCAAGTAACCAATGCGCCGTGAGCCAGCGCTTTACAAGTCGTACCGTACCAACATACGCAGGGAACCGATGACACAAGTTCGCAATAGCACGATGGTGTTTGGGTGCGTGGAGATAACGTCGAGCGTATGCTTCATATGCTTTTTGTGCGGATTGTCTATCGAGGTATTCGCGGGTTTTGCTGCCGTCTGGCGTAGATACTGCTGAAGAACCGTTCGCTACCGGGCGTGGTTTCTTTTTATCCTCCAAAATGCGTTTCAGCAACATCGCCTCTCGGTCATGCCATATCCGCGCAGCGAAAGCCCATCCTTCCTTCGTAACGATCTCCAAATACGCATTATCAAGCGTACGCTCCGAAGTCATCGTCATCCTCTGTGGATCACAAACAACAATCCTAGCCACCAACCCCGGAACCTTCCCCATCAACGCACTCGCCATCTGCTCAAAAAACGCCAATTTCATCTTCTGAATCGCACCAAGGTCGTCCGGCCACCTTCCTGACCTCTCAAACTGTACAATCACCTCCATGGCCGGAAGATACCGCATTCCGACCGACAAGGAATTCGCATGCTTGGGGGGGATAGGAGTAGGAGTGAAGATACCCGTATACCTTAGATCACTCGACACGGGACTGACGTTCAATATCGCTAGAGGGATTTCTTCGTCAAGACTCTTCAATTGCCTCAACAACCCATCAAACGCCATCATCGCGTTCTTGAAACCCGGCTGCGCACCAGGTAACACCACCCTCTGCACAAGTTCAAAATCCTTTTGCACCACTTTCACATCTCGTTCTACCTCCAAACCGAAATGCCGTGAAAGGATGTAGCATACGACATCCGCAGGGATCCGCGCACGGTCATCAGCACTTTTGACTTCCCACACAACACTCTCGAGGATCCGACCGTCTTTGAACCGTCTGAGTTCCGCTTTGGTGCCCCATAACTCTCGGAATTCGGTAGCTTCTTTGGTATCTTGGTCTGATGCTGCTGGACCGTGGTCTATCACACGAAATGCGTTTTCCGTGTTCAAGATCAGACCGATATGCACCTTGTTAAGCGGCGGCAAGACGTCTCCTTGCGATAAAGGTCGAAGTCCGTTCGTTGTTGTGTTTATTCCTATGGCATGGACGCGATCGCCAAGAGCACGTCGAAGGATCGAGCTTAGCGTGTGTATTGCAAGCTGGGAAGGTGAACCGTGGTCTAATATATCGACGAGGTTTGATCTTCGTAGAGTCATTCGTCGTAGGTCAACCCTTCAGAGGTGAAAAGAATACCCATGTCAACATAAAACTCTATGTAAAATAATTGAGTAATAGGTATTTGCGTACTGTATCGTAACATCGAACCGTGTCGACAGCTGTCTTCGATCTCGTAGGAACACATCACTAAATGGATCTGCCTTGCTATCCTGCGAGCCGTTGTTCAGAAGATCGAGGGTGATTTTGGCGTCATGCCTAAGCTGTAAATGTAACGTTAGGATAGAGCTCTGCGGATTCCAAAATACCACGTACAAGGTCTATAGAAGTCACAGGAATGCCTGCTACGATGTTAACAGAGCAGACGTCTACGAAGACAGGTCCGTCGGAACTATACGTATCTGCAGGGAACTAAATATTTATCAGATTGGGAATTCTTGCTGCAACAAAGAAACGTACTCTTGATCCACCCTTAATGAAGACTGGTTGAGCGCAGAAGGCATGATTTGCTGCAATACCAAATGCCACGTTCATCAGTCCAATGAAAGCAGAACTCGATGGAAGGAATATGAGACACTCTTACCAAGGAAGTCCAGAGCAGCTCTAAACAATTGATACGAACTCAACCCCCTCCCAACAGGTCGTCTCAACGTCCTCTTCTTCCCACCCTTCTCCCCGAAGTCCTCTTCACCAACAACAATAACATGCATAACGCCCGTCCAGAAATACCCATTTCCTTCAAACCCACTAACAACGCCTCTATCCTTCGAACCAGGCCCGTATCCGCGTTGGTTTGCCCAAACGCGCAAGAGGGCCAGGGCGTCCCGGAATGAAGGGACTTCTTTTATGAGAGTGTGTGTTTGGAGAAGAGGGGTGCGTGCTGAGGCGTGCATTAGGAGGTCTGTGTTGTAGATTGGCGTGGGGCGCGTTGTTGACGCGTTGTTTGCGTTTGCGCTGTCATCACTAGCGGCGCCGTCTGAGACTTTGACGCGGATGTTACAGTGTGTCGGGGACAAGTGATGGAGCGAAACGGGGCAGGGGGAAGGTAAGACTGGTAGCAATCGCACGCATGCGTTCAGTTTGGAGAAGTCGGTTGACGAGCCATCTGTGCCAAACGAAAATATGAATCAAAACCGTCTTAAAATTGAAAAGCGTATTGAAAGAGAATGCATACCATTATAAGGAGTTAACACAAGGGAGGTAAGGCGAGCATCGTAAGGGCAGTCATACGATACGTCCACATTTAGCCTATCATCAGATCGAATAGCTAACGCCAAGCTCGCCAGGTAGAAAGCTCTTTTATGGAAGAAACGACAATCAAGATAATCTTTCTCCTGAAATATCTCCTGCAGGGCATAAATTCAATTAGCATTTCGCACAAAATACGAAGGGTTGTGATATGTGATACGCACAGCAGGCATCTCCACAGCAACATCAACACTCCAAGACGCACTACCAACACTCTTAACACCAGTCTTCGTAGCCCAGCTTCCAACAATTACAATATCACTAGGTTTCTCGAAAGAGACTTTCCAAGCCGTCTCGGCGGTTGGTTGAGGTGCGGCGTACGGAACAGTTATCCCTTGCTTCGAAAGTGCTCGAGAGGCTTCTGATGGATGCGAAGGCGGTGTAGACTTCAACGACATGAGTACCGTATATAAAATATGGAGAAACTCTTCGAGTGGTTTTATGCGTGATTCTTTCGGTCTGACATTTGGCAGTAAAGCGTCAATCTACGTATACGACTTCTTGAGTCATTGTATAAGATAGAAAACTCCAAGAAAAACGTACTGCCAATTTGAATACATTGGATTTGTATAATTCCGAAGCTTCCTTGATGCTACGGAGCTCGGTGTGTGTCGGAGGCCTATTTGCATGTTTCCTATCTTGCCGAGCACGAATGTTCGTCCCGTCTATTGTTCCTTCGTCACTGGAGTGTATTCCGCCCCAGCCTTCTTCGTCTTCTTCATCCTGCATTTCAATATCTTCATGAACGTCCAATTCCTCGTAAGTAGAACCGAGTGCGTCCGATTCGTCTTCTGACTCGTCCGTCTCGCTGCGTTGCTAACCGTAGTCGTTGATGCGAGTCTATTTGTGTGATAGCTATACTCACCTTTTTACCCTGGTGAATCACTTGAGAAGTAGGTCTTTTTCTTTTCAGCCTGAGGTCTTGAGCCATTTCGGAAGTGTCGCACAGGCAGAAGCCGTATCCAAAGTTTTTTCAAAGCTCGCAAGAAGACAAAAGTTATAGAGTGGTGAGTATAGCAGTTCGTTCGCACGCAGTCTAAAAGCTAATTCGATCAGTCAAGTAACCTCTCTCCACTTTACCACATTATACTACATTTCTCACCACAAAGAAACCCATGAGGGTTTCATCATGTAATTACGGGAAATATAGCACTAAAATTCTACAAAAACATAAATATTAAGAACAAGCAAATAGTACAAGTAGGATTTATCCATGCCTGAACAAGCATCTACAGACCCTTTATATACTGTCCTGCCACTCAAATCAAGAGTATGTGTATGAGGATATTTATGGGTTCTAATACAAATGACAGCTGTTATGAACTATTATCAAGGAAGGATGTCAGAGGTGATACACGAGTCAGATTGTCTGTCCAATCATTTATGCAAGTTCTGATCCGATGTGATGCAGCATCACCAATCCTGTGCTAGCATTTAAGTTAAGCACTGAACTAGGAATGCATCTGAGTTATGCACAGCCAGTCTGGCCCAGTCGTCTAATCATAGATGAGCGCTGCGGATCTATAAAAAAAAAGCTGTGAGAAACAAGGTTGATCGATATCAGCAAAGATAGCCTTTTGTTGCTCCTGATTATGTCATTTTGGCTATACAATTCGGTTGTGTCTACTAAACTCTGTAATTATGTTGTGTACACATCCAAGCAAAGTACAAGCTTACTCATCAAGCCTTGTTCAGAGTGCTCCGTGTGAAGATGTACTTGAGCATTCTGCACTGTAGCATTTTGTAACGCATTGTGAATTGTTACACGGAACTGTGTGATGGAGAGTAAGGATCGGATAATATTGATAATAGTCTTAACGAAGAAGAAGATAATTACCATGAAGTCTCCAAAGGCAGTTGAAACGCGATCGTGAATGAAGCGACGTTGCCCAGCCCGCTTTCGTAGGGTCGTCAAACGAACGAACTGATTGCGCTGTATGTCTAATGAAACGGCCTCTGCAGCCTCGACTAGTATGCTAGACAGCGGGGGGAACAGAATTAGTTCGGCGTCTTCATGATTAAGGGTCATCAATACCGATTGAGCTGGACAGCAGCTTCTTCGTACTCCTCGCACAATCCAGCACTAGACGAAATGGTTTCGTCTAATATCTTGCCACGTCCTTCTATCCAGCTGATCAGCTTTTCACTATCCTCTTTATCGTCTCGAAGTTTCTGAATACACGTGGGGAAAAAAATGTTAGTATTGGATTATTGATAAAGGCGAGAATGGTAAGACGTACTCGATTGACATCAACAATGTGCAGCACTCCGTCCACGGCTGCTTTTGCAGGGGGTAACGCATCACCGACGGCAGAAAATGCTTCTGCGCCCATAAGAAGGATACTCCCTCCCATTTCGAAAGCTTTCTTTGCTTTCATAAATTTCTTCCGCTGCACGGATGTTCCTGCAGGCGCTGGAGTCTGAACTTCTTCACCCTTTGCAGGATCACCATCCGTCTTATCTGTGATATGGGCCTCCGTACTTGCGGACGCATTTTTCTGCGCAGATGGTACAGCTACAGGTGTCGCAGTCTTGGATGACCTCGAAAAAACGCGCTTGATACATTGCATGATAACAGCTACCTTGGGATCGGCTTGTCTCAAAGATGGGGCAAGTTCTGCTGGGCGGAGGTTACCCATCGAGGAAGGTGGGGATGTAGGTTTCTTGGAAAAGCGGCGTAACATGGCTTGCGTCGGCGAGTACTGTTGAAGGAGAATGGCGGAAAGGTAGCGGGTAGTACGACCAGGAACAAGCTTAGCTAGGGTAGACAGAGAGCGCGCCAGCGTAGCGAGTTTCTCCCAACGCACAGAGCCAGAAAAGGTTGAGGACCCAAAATTGTGTAGTAGGACAATTGAAGCAAACAACATAGCCATTCTCAGAACAGAGGCATTGGATGATTCATTGCGCGACAATCGCTAAAATTATCAAAAGCAAGCCAAAGCTACTTCTAGAAGTAGCAATTGAGAAACCAAAACCGTCGTCAACAGGCACAGGTTCAGCTGCATATGGTCCTGGGCGCCGCTTTTGCATGGTCCACAAGTACGCGGGCGCAGCCGCAAATACGTACGTAGAACGTGCAGATGAGTGTACTAGTAGCAGTCTATTGCACGAGGGTGTTCAACTTCGTTAACACGTTTGCAGGACCTATGAAGAAAGTGGTTCCCATTCCTACCATGCTGTAGCGACGGCGGAACTAGGAGTGACGGCGAATCGTCCCTGGTCAGTCTTCGTCCCGTCAATGTGTGCATGTAAGGCGGCAACTCAGGGATGAGGACCGTAGGGCTGTGTCTCATAGCCACAGAACAATGTATCACAAGTTACAACAGTACAGCATTATGCCTCATGCAATTTTGGTAGATCCTTAAATGAAGCCAAAGGGTTCTCCTAGCAGAGGAGTCCACAGCACCTTACTCGTCAAGCAAGCGGTTGAGTAGACTTGAAAGACATATTTGAAAGGTAGTGTAATATCGTAGTCCTCAAGACTTTGCGTTCGAAAAGGTAGTAGATTGGAAGAGTTCGTGAACTGGGTGTGAATATCAAACACAGCAACTCGAATTCCTGTGAGAATAAACTTCCATTTTTGCATAAATTTCGGACATCGGTACGGAATTTCACACCGACACCTGGTAAGTGTGGAACAAATGGTGCAGCCTGTCCATCTTCAACTTCAGATACGCTCTCACGCTCTCGGCTCTCAATTGCAAGTCGAAGGATAGAATGACTGCCCGAGCTTCGTTCATTCCAGTCTGTACTTGCTGTGCGTCTGTTCCCGTAACCATGGTCAAGGAGTTCGTGTACACCTTTTAGACTAGTAACGACTTCTTCACGAAGCAGAGCAAGAATGACGTTGTCTCCGATACCTTGAATTTGAACGGCAGAGCATACTGAAGGCGGAGCAAGTAAATCGAAATTGACTTCATTATAGATTTCGAGACACGAGCACCGCAATAGATACTCGCGAGATGGAGTCCGACGGATGAATGCAAAGACATCTTTCATTGCTCGTGGAATGATACCGGGCTGCTAATCTTTGCCTGTTAGTGTGTAAGTCTTGCCACTTGCAGTCTGGCCGTATAAGAAGCAAACGCTATTGTAACCATTCATTGCAGCTTCGATGCGGCCTTGTGCAGCCGCACAGTATACGAACTTGTTGTCTGAGCCGACAAGCACCCTGTTGTAGTGATATTCTGGCGCTGGAGTCCCCGGGGCTTGTGATATTGTGGCAGTAGTTTCAGCGAATTCTCCGAAGGCTTGGCAGTCCACGCTTGCGTTCATTTGGTAGGGCGAACTCTGAGGGTGACACAATAACGTCCTGAAAGAATGAGATAGAGGTGAAGAACAGAGACGTACCGTATTGATACATGGGACCTTATCCTTCCAGCCATACTGCATAGAGCGTAACTCGCGCTCGTCCAACTCGAAATTAAGATCGACGTCCACGTTCTCTGCATCTACCAGAGCCTGCTCTGGATCTATACGGCTTACGTCCATCTTGCTTTCCATTACAACGTCCTCGCAGCGGCTCTGGCTACGCATGGGTGTTCGAGGAGAGCCAGGACAAGACGCTGAGCCAGTTTTTGTCATTCGACGCGTCTTTACTTCTGTTGAGAGTGCAGCTTTGTATTTCTTGACGGCGGGACTGTTGTGAACCGTTGTTAATGACTCGGTGGCGGATGAACGAACCGTGGACATGGTGGAGGACACGTCTACTTATAACTCAATGCAACACTGCGAATACACAGTAAAATTAACAAGGGCAGACACTTCGGAAAAAGGAGAAAACTAAACATGGTATTCAGATAGATAAATCATTGCTTCAAATGAAGTATTAATATTACTACTTACGCCAATCAAGCACCAAAGTGCACCAAGTTGACCCATCTCTCTGTCTGGACCCCTTCACGTCTTCGCAATGCCAGGACGGCGTTACAGAGTGCAGCTGCGGACCGCTTATGTATCACTTCACCCTCTTCATGCTCTGCTATGTATGAATAAACCTCACTTGCAAGCAAAGGGCCATCCGGGTCGTACATTTCCCACATCGTCCCAATCACGCTTCGAAAGCCACAGAATTGCATTGCGGCAGCTAAGTAGAGGGCCTCATCCGTTACATCATTCTGTTCGGCAGTGTGGCAAGCAGAGAGAAACGCAAACTCGGCGTTTGGAAGATGAGCACGGATGATGTCGAGCAATGTCAAGCCACCATCAGAGAGGACGAAAGAAGAGTCAAGCGATCCTGAGCCGAGACGACCATCATGGGGCATTTCACAATTCCTTACCTTAAAAAATAACTTACATAATGATAAACATTATTTGAAATTTATTTTCCCATTTTTGACCAGCAAAAATTATA